AAAATAGCACAGCATGTATTCCATAAAGATATCGGAGTCAATAACGCTAATGACTGTTATAGATCAATGGTTGATTTTCTCATAACTTCCTATAATCATATTTTTAAACCCCGCACAATTGTTAAAAAATCAAAATTAAAATTTAGTAACTGTGCAACAGTGGGTATATATAAAAGTAGGGATTCACTGTATGGATTATATAATATGAGGCAGTGGAATCACGACCCTAATTTCCATAAATGGGTACAAAATTTTTCAAAAATATTTAAAAAAGTCTGTATACATGCAAAATCTATCTACATAAGAAATAGGATTTTAAATTCTAGTAATAAAATAAAAGCTACATGGGACATCATTACCTGTATATCTGGAAGACCCAAGATATTCAGGGAACCTATAAAGCTAGTGATAGGCAATACACCCATAACTTCAGATAACGAAATTGCAAGTAGTTTTGAAAGTTATTTTTCAGAAATTGCAATTAATGTTACATGCACGTTAAAATCCTCTCCCATTGATGCAATTAATGTATTAAAAGATAATGTTACCTATTGTTGACAAACGTTTAAATTTAATCACATAGATACTAATGATATTATAAAAGTTTTGAATTCTATTAATCTTAAAATACAGGAGATTTGTGGGGCATGTCCATAAAATTAATGAGTACAATAATGCCGTATATTGCACCATATTTGGCAAATATTTTTAACAAATGTATAGATTCTGGAATATTTCCAGATCTTATGAAATTCAGTAAGATAATCCCCGTTTTCAAAAGTGGGGATAAAAATGATCCAGGAAATTACAGACCTATCTCCATATTGCCATCTCTGAGTAAAATTTTTGAAAAACTAATTTTACATCAACTCTTAGTACATTTTAATATGAACAAAATTTTCCACAATGAGCAATATGGATTCACTAAAGGCAGATCGACAACGGATGCGGGTGTCGCACTTGTCAAGCATATTTATAACGCCTGGGAAAGGTCACAAGATGCAATAGGTGTCTTTTGCGACCTTTCAAAGGCTTTCGACTGTGTAGACCACGAAACCCTCCTTCAAAAGTTAGATTATTATGGCATTCGTGACATCGACCTCAATCTCATTGCCTCTTACCTTAGTAATAGAATTCAAAAAGTATCTATAAATGATGTAAATTCCGCAGGGTCCCCCATGAAAATGGGTGTCCCACAAGGATCAGTCTTGGGTCCATTATTATTCTTAGTGTATATAAATGATCTCCTCTTTTATGCCAGTGAGTTATGTGATGTTGTACTGTTTGCTGACGACACATCGCTCATTTTTAAGGTTGACCGAAACGTGTCGGATTATGACGACGTGAATAGTGCACTTTCGCGTATCCTCCACTGGTTTACCGTTAATAATATGGTGTTAAATGCTAAAAAAACTAAATGCCTTCTTTTTAATGCGCAAGCGTCTATGTGAATAAAGATATTTTATTAAAGATATTATATTATTATTATATTATTTGAATCAGTGAATTGAGTCACAGAAAATAATCAATTTCATGGGTATTTACATTGTTATATTTTGAGATTGGCTGATGAATTTGTGTATTACACTTAGAAAATCTAGAAATGGGGTTCCGAGGATAGTTTCATGTAATGCTTAAATCAATGTCAAATTCAAAGTAAAAATTCTACCATCTTTTTATATAAAGTCGATATTAAAATGTTATTTTTATAAATTTTTAATTTGTCTTATTGTTTTTTTTTGTTTCATATTAGTATTTTACTTGTACTTGTAACAATTATTAAGTTATCATATACATATTGTCTTTTTAAACATGCTGTAACTACCTTTAAATGGAAACATGTAAATCTTAGTTCCTAATACTATTGTCAGATTTTATTACAAAACAACATGTTATTCCGTTGGTTGTTCTATCTAAATAATACTACTAATATATAAATAAATAAATAAGTCAAAAATACAGTTTGATCTGTTTTCTTAAATGCACTTAAAGCTTCTCTGGACCACCCACATGTTGGACCTTTGTACATATTATGTGTAATTCTTCACACATAATATGAAGATGTATAACTTCAAAATTCTTTATACTTAATAGCTGGAATCAAATGTTAACAAACTCTGCAGTCAATAAAATATAATGTTGCACTTTTAATTAGGAGAACTTGTAGCATTATAATATCAAATTTCACCCACATGGATGTTTGGTACTTTTGTTCTAATGTGTACTGGTGTATATGTATGTGCAAAAGATAACCGACATGCAACAACAGACTGTTTCATCTATTAACATGGCATGTAGTTAGGACTACAGAGAAGATGATGAATTCTGTGGAATTTTCAAAGCTTTTCCAAGATTTTACTTAGAAATTATGATAAATTACAGAAATATTTTACTTTCTAAATGTTGTGGTTGTCAATATGCTACAGAGATAAAGCCGTGTTTAAAATTAAAATCTTAAAACCAAATTCTACCAACATAAATAGAATTTTTATTCTTTACAGATTATTTTCTTGTACTTGTATTTCTGTGGACATTTTTAATAAGCTTTCTGCCTGTTTTTTTTTTTCTAACAAATACACTGACACTGAGAAATAATAATTATTTTCTACAGTAACATTATATATGTATATGATAATTTTTTTAAATAACCAAAAATAATACATTTTCGCTCATTTCAACATCATATTTGGTTGCCAAATTTTAATTCTGTACTATTAATGATAAATGACGAAAGTTAGGCCTAACAGAATTTCAACAATAAATCTGTCGAGACTGTTTAGTTATATTAGCATTTTTTAATACTATGTTTCCTAATGGACTGTTAATCCTTTGTTCTGTGATAAATAATTTTAATAAGAATTTTAATTGGTTTCAACATTTCCTCTATCCCCAAAGACAAACAGAAATGCGAGTTCCTTTCAATAAACAATAAAATCATTAAAAACACAATCTGTATACATTATTCAAAACACAATGGGTGCGTATAATCAAAGGTTAAACGGAGTCGGAATATTTTCTTGCGACATGAGCGTAAAAAGTTTGCACTCAAGCCACAAAGTATTTTTTTTGTTTTTCAAACATGTATTTATATCATTGAATTAATTGTATTAGTTTTCACGTTTAAAGTTTTTGTCGTTCGACCGATACATCGTATTTTTTAACCTTGTCAACGGATATCGTCCAAATACTAGAACAAAACAAAATCAGTACCTGTAGTAAGGCTCCTGTCCGATCCACCGGTCATTTTCCCGGGGGTGTGATGTGACAGTATCACTTAGAGCGACAAGCGGCCAGCACACTGTGTCTCTTGAGGCCCAGCACCACAATCCAGGCAGCAATTATAAAAAGAACCCATTTTCAATGTCACGAGAGCTACACGAGGGTAACTTGCGGACGACGACGCAGCTGCCGTCCGCTCTATGCACTAACGACGCACGCGCCCTTAGCAATAATATTTCAACATTAATTACCTTCTCCCTCAGGGAAATTTGATTCCCGATGTTTATGTTCCTCGATTTCAGCCATGACCAATTTATTTATTTAGAGTTCTGACTTGACTGAACATAGCGACATGCAATTTTTCCAACTCGACGCAAGCAAGTTGACAACACAGAATGAAAAAAAGACGTGTCATTGTCAAAATTTAAATTAGTGTTTTATACAGGATTTTAATTTATATACTTAATTTACAGCAGCACTATCATTATTGTAATTAAATGTACGAAAAAAGTTTATATTATTCGCAAATGCAAATCATTTTAAAATTTTTAAATTATTTAATGATTACAGATGTCATTTTATCAGTAAAAATATTTTTATTTACTATAATTGTGCGTAACTGTATTAAAATCTAAAAAATTTATCAAGGTACAACTACGAATTTTCATCTTATTTGTAACATATGCAATTTTAGATGAAACAAACGTTGTTTGGATTTTAATTCTTCCGACGAAGTTGTCAAAGACAGTGTCTTTAACGCGTATAAATAAACCAAAGCCTTTTTTGTTGTAGTTTGTAGTCTTGTTAGCTGTTCGCCCGGGGGCTTTGACCTTTTCATTGGAAGAGGGCGACAGGCAGATAACCATCAAAGTCCGTGAACATCCGGACTCTGAACATCAATTTTTGTAGCTGGTACCAATTGGTGACAAATTAAAACATGGAAAAATGCTAAATACTGAATTTAATATTGAATGCGGTGTGTGACATGTTAGGCACCGCAGTGACCGTCATTGATCAATTTGAGTCTATTGCTGTATCCTTGCAGTGACGCCTTATCGGACGGTGGCGTGGTAAAAACTCAAGTCCGGCAACTCCATTATAGTAAAGTAACAGCCTATACATGTCCCACTGCTGGGCAAAGGCCTCCTCTCTGCAGAGGGTATCAGGGCATAGTCCACCACGCGGCCCCACTGCGGATTGGCGGACTTCACATATCTTCGAAATAATCTTTTTTTTTTTGTTATTATTTCGAAAATATGCAGGTTTCCTCACGATGTTTTCCTTCACTGCGGAGCACGTGATAAGTCAGCACTTAAAGTTAAAAACTTCATTGGTGCCGGCACCGGGGATCGAACGCAGGTTGCTCGAGTGTATTGAATTAAAGGCGAGCGCCCGGACACTGAGCTATCACGGCTCTTATACACAGGCACTCCATTATAACTCCTCCGATTTTGTAGGTAACCCACTTGCTAGTTTGCCTCCTTTTTTCACGGGGTACCTGTTGCGCGACGTAGGAATTGATTTTGAATTTATTGAAATGAATGGTTTGTCACAGAAAAAAATTATTAATTTACCGTACTTTTCCATATCACTTCCACCACTGTCATCATCATTTCAGCCTATTAGAGTCACTTGGCCACACTGACTGAATGTCAAATAAACGTCAATGTTAAATTGTGATTATTACTCATATTTGTCAAAAAAATCCAAGGTATCGAGTTTCTTTGATTAAATCAAAATAACATTGTACGATAAACAATATAGCAAATTATACATTAAAAATGCAGGTAATAATAAAAGTACAATTTCACTTCAAAAATAAGTATGTGTTATTGAATGATATTTATTTTTAGAACCCAAATGAGGATACAGAATGGAACGATGTCCTTCGCGCCAAAGGAATTATTCCTCCCAAGGAGACAGAAATATCCGAGGAGCAAATTGTGAATATGATCGAAGAGACAATACAAAATAAACAAGCAGAAAGTATGTTTCCACGGTGTTCACTGTATAACTTATAGGTTATGTACACCTGGTTCTTAATTCCATAATATCTTCAAATACAAGCAAAAGCAATCTATTTAGAAGATACTGTACTAAGAAAATAATATAATGTATTATGTTTTCATTATTATAGGAATTTAAATAGTTCAGAAAGCATGGTAACTGTTACAAATCCCAAATTCTTCCGAATTTGGTTTTTAATTATAATGCATAATTAGCATGTAATAAGCATAATAACTAGAAAGTCACTTGTTAATGTTTCCAAATAAGTTATCTGTTAAGTTAGTAATCTGTTAAGTATACAAAATAAATTGTAGTCATTTAAAAACTTCATGTTACAGAGGAAAAGCAGTTATCAGAACTAGACTTAGATGGTCTTGATGAATTAGAAGATGAGGAAGACGAGGCTGTTCTGCAAGAGTACAGAAGGCGGCGTATTGCTGAAATCAAAAGACTTGCAGAGAAGCCCAGGTTTGGTGAGGTAAAGGAAGTTTCGGGCCAAGATTATGTTCAAGAAGTCAACAAAGCTGGTGAAGGTATCTGGGTAGTCATACACCTGTATAAACAAGGGTGAGTGTAGGCCATTAATACCTTTGTCTGAATTTAAATGGTCTTTAATGTTTTTATTAACTTTAATCTACTCACTTTTATTTAGTCACAGTTTTATAGGGTGTATTGCTTAAAATATTACTTTATTTTATACATGTGCTTAATGAGAATAAATATTTTTAGAATACAAGAGTGTGCTCTTCTTAACCAGCACATAAGACAATTGGCTGCCAAATTTCCATACACCAAATTCTTAAAAGCAATGGCTCAAACTTGTATACCCAATTATCCAGAGAGGAATCTGCCAAGTGTATTTGTCTATTATGAAGGCGATATGAAGAAGCAGTTTGTGGGCCCACTAGAATTGAGAGGAACAGCATTGACTTGTGATGGTTTGTGTTCATTGTATAATAAAATTGGTAAAAGGGGCTTCTTTAAATTTGGTAAAATTTGCAAAATATATCTTTAAACATAACAAGAATTGCATCCTACATTATTATCAAATTATTTTGACTATACAAGCTAAATGATTTTATATTTATTTATATTTGGGGTAATTTTTTTCTTAAGGAATGGTTGTGTTGCTGAATAAATTTAGAAATTTAGAATTAAATATTCCTCATACAATACAAATTAAGTTTAATTTTGCTCTATAAGTCATATACAATCTGAATTTTTTTTAATTTTTTATATCATTTGACAAATCTCTTTTTTTCAAAATCCAAACTGCTTACATTGTGTAAGCACTTTCAGAATCTTTTTCACAGCTAGCATGAAATGCAACAAATATAATAAATGTATTGTATGTATTATTCTTTAGATGCATATACATCTAAAATAAGTATTTAAATATGTTTCCCAGTTACCTAGTATCCATAGTAGGAGCTTAGTTTAGGACTAGATTATGCTGTTCAAGAATGTTTTTCAAAATGTTTATTTTATTTATTAATGAGAGCTATAAGATGACTAATTACATTACAGAGTTGGAGTATATACTAGGTCAAGTTGGTGCTGTGGACACTAAAATAAAGGAAGACCCGAAACCCAAGATTAAAGACAAGTTATTCACAGATTTGGGTTGCAATGACTGGTGATGTTCAATCAATCTGATGCACTTTACATGTTCAGTGCAACTGACAATAAATCAAGCAATCGGTGTGCGGGTGCTTTATGCTTATTGCAAATTTTATTTATTTTAGTTTTAAAATAATATTCAAGTGAGCAACATTTCAATTTGTGGTTTATGTGCTGTATATTCTTAATATCAATGAGAAATGTATTGACTTTTCAAAAATGTATGGATACTTACAATTTTATATTAAAAGTTATAATACTATGAGTAATTTTACTCTGATTTGGAAGATAATATAAATATATTATCATGACTTAAATTTTGATGTCAGCTTTATTGATATACAGATAAATGCGAAGAGATGCTTTTACAATTATTTAATGGTTGAAATATTAATTCATCAATGTGACTATCATTTGTAAATTTGGGGAGCACTCTTATATAAGTTGTAATTGAAAATCTATCAGTGTTTTACGAGTATATGATACATTAAAAACATTTATTTTAATTTTATTTTGACATTAGTTTCAATGTTTAATAATAATATTGTACTATTAGTTTGCTTTGTTAACAAAATGAAAACCACTTTTATACGAATAGTTCTATTATTTTGCACTTGAGTTCAACAATACTTTTTTAATTTTTATTTAATTTTCCAACATATACCATATTTAAACATTTTGAATAAAAAGAACTTGGAAAAACATCTTTATAAGTTTTCGATTTACACACCACATATGCTAAGTATACAATGTATACTATGATAATATATACAATGTATGTGATTGTATACAATGCATAATACTATATTTACTACTATGAAAGCTTAAACCTAGAAACTTTTAAGAATCTTCAACCAAATTTTCACCTAGTTAATAAAATCACATAATTATATTTGTATTCTGTGATCCATGCATTTTCAACTTCCTCATCGTCTTAGAATGCCTTATTGAAAATAAATATTTATTTAAAAAGGCTAGAATTGTACACATGTAGGTCGTAACTTACGAACATATTAATTTTTATGTCAAATTATGACAACGCGCAAGCGTCTATGTGAATAAATATATTTTTGATTTTTTTTGTAAACTATAAATTCGAATTTCGGTGTGAACAGAGAAATAATAATAGTCATTGAAAAGTCATGACATAAGGATTTCATAACCTATGATGTTTCTTAACATTTAAAATAACTTGTTCCAATTGCCGTTTGCTGCTAAAATTTTTGGATCTCTATGGTATAATGCATTTGTGACAACAATGTCAGTCGTCAGTTTTTGAACTATCCGTTATGAACACACCAAACACTTTCGTCCCAGTGTTCAAATCACCATCAACATTCAACACGTCCTATTTATGTTAAACACCACGGAATTTGGTCCTTCTAGCCGGATAGACTGCCGCAGCCGATGTTAATCGTCTCTACAGCGGCTAGGACCGTGAATGTTGCCACGGGCAATCGGTTTTTTCAGCAACCACGTTGTAGATTTATCGCGGCGACGCAGCGAGCGATGCAGAGCTCTGCCGGGAGGCGGGACCGGAGCCCCAGCTCGAATACTCGCGCGAGTATGCGGCCAGCGTGTTCTTGCACGCCCACTATGAGCTCCGCCATCTTGTCAAGCGCCGACTGCGCCACCTCCGGTTGGTTGGAGTCGAGGCACTCCATGATCGCTTGGAGACCTGAACGAAAGCACACATTTTGTTCAATGACACTCTCTCTCTCTCTCTTTCTGGCGGTAGTAGATACTACGTAGTACGTTAATTAGGTGGCGGTTATAAAAGTCAAATAAACCGACCGTAGTCAATCAATGCTTAATGCAAAATATTATAATTACGCACTTAAATAACAGATTGCGTATTTAAGCGCTTGCAATGTTGAAATATCATGTGTGTCATGTTGAAATGTTTTATGAAACAAAATTTGCGAAAGCCTCTTGTGACAGATTATTGTTTCTCTTTCCGTTTGTGTGTTCGAGTGTGGGGTGAGCGGATGCCGGAGACCTGGCGTGGGGTGAATTAGTTCAGGAGAATTTGCGGAAGTGTGACAGATTGTGAGACGTCTCTTTCCGTTTGCCGGTGTCTGATGTTCGAGTGGGAGGTGAGCCGAAGCCGGAGACCTGGCGCGGGGACAATTTGCGGAAGTGTGACAGATTGTGGGCCATTTAACGGTGTTCGAGTGTGGGGCGAGCGGTGGCGTTTGAGTGCGGGACCTGGCGCGGGGTCCGGCGCGGCGGGCAGCAGCTTGGCGAGCAGCGAGAGCGCGGCGGTGCGCAGGGGCGCGTGGGGCGCGGCCGCCAGCGGCGCGATGGCGCGGAGCAGCGTCGCCGCGGAGCCCCGCCCGCCCCACGCGCCGCCCCTCCTCACGCCCCACGCCTCCACCTCCTGGAAGCATCGTACTTTGGCTGTACTAAAACACTACACTGATAAATAAAACTAAGCACAACTTTCAATGGAAATTACGTCATCTCTCGATTTCTCTGTTCCTCATCATCTATCTATTCCTTGTAAATGGTTGTTTTGAAAGGCGAAAGAATGCTGTAAGGTAGATGGCTCTTAGCGTTGCTAAAATTCAATGAATGTAGATATTGGCCGCTACACTTAGTTGTTAGAGCGTCTGGAAGCGTAAAACGGAAGAAATATTAAATTTTCCCAATTTGGAATTGAAAAAAGAATATCACGTTTAAATATCATCTTCGGGCGTGGAGACTAGCTATTTAGGGCTAGGCCACGAATAAGCTAAATAAACTGAGATTGGGCTGTTTCGAACGAAAGCGACGGTGGTCACTAATTCCTAAATGGAAAATGGACGTATTCACCTTTTCCTAGGGGACTAGATTTATCCTTGTAATCTAATCTCGGACTCATAGAATATAGCTAAGGGTATCCCCTGCCTGCCGAAAAAGGCGACTCGATGGGGACACGGACTAGCAGCAGTACGAAGCAGTCGAGCTGTTGCAAGATCGTGAGGGAATCGGGGAAGGTTTGTTTTTATATATTATTTTTTTTCCTTCTCCGAGCCGTGTTCACGCGCACTACCGAGGGTTACCGCGTTCGTAGTGTTTTGTAGGAGATCTCGGAGTCCCCCCAAACGTACATAAGTAGGCCACCGAGGGGTACGAACCCCACATAACCCTGTCATGTAAGGTGACAGGGTTTCTTTTGAAGATTCCCCGACCAAAAAAAGGGGGCTAGGGTTGCCACACGCCGTATGGGTTGGAACGCGGGCCTAGGGCTGCCACAAGGGGCGCGCCACTTACCTGGAGGTGGGCGGTGAGCTCGTCGGGCGGGGCGATGCGCCGCTGCAGGGCGAGCAGCGCATGCGGGGGAGGGGTGGCGGAGGCGGGGGCGCTAGTGTCGCCAGCGCTCACGCTCGCCAACGCAGGCAGCGAGCTAAGGCAGAAGTTCAATTAGAGGCGCGCTCTCGACTTGTCTGTTATCGTTCTGGCAGCAGCATTAGTGATTTATTGCCTTTAAAACGTTACACAACATTGGATGCAAGATACCTCCGTGCGACTTTGTAATTACTTAAAGCAACTAAAGCAAACCAACAAGCAGCCTATATATCACATTTTTCCTTCACGAATAATTTTTTCATATTATTATTTCTAAAAAAACATGCAGTTTTGCCCCTGAGCACATGGCGTACTTGCCATGTGCTCAGGGGCACTATTACTTAATAAAAAGTGCATTTATGACGAATACATCCAGCAACGTTCTTCGTCTAATTCAATAATGCAACAACAGTATTTTAATGGTTGCGGCAAGTGCACAGATTAATTTACACAATTGAAAGGTGAATGAATGAATGAATACTTTTTTTGTCCATCACACATAAAAGGATGGGCAAAATGAAAGGTGCCATTGGACTCACGCGATGGTGTCCCTGTGCGCGTGCATGAGCGCCGCCGCCCTCTGGGGCCGGGCGGCCGCGTAGCGCCGTAGCAGGGCCGCTACGCGCTGCGAGAGCGAGCCGCCGTCGCCGCCCCGCCCCCCGCCGCCCGCAGTCTGCCGCATTATCTGCAGGAAGCACTCCAGGATCTCGTGTAACTCCTCGCTGTGGTCAAAAGATTATTATTTTATTTATTTAATAATTTACGTACCTAGTGTATATGAAAGAAATGTGAATACAAGGAAAGATTTGTACAAAGGCCCTGCTTATTTCTTAAGAAATCTCTTCCAGCAGACCTGTGATTGGAAATTGGACACAAATGGTAGCCACAAATAATATTTATAATACATGTACATGAAATAATTTTAAATATGAAATCAATACATATTAATAACACTTGAAAATCGAGCGAGTCTAATGGGGAAACCCTACGCTCACCAGTGGACTCAAACCGGCTGAAATGATGATAATGTTGAAGCGTTATACGGCCCCCTACTAGATGGAGTGGCAACCTGTGCAGATGTGCGAAGTCGTTTTGTGCGTTCGGCTCTGGATCGTGGTCAGTTGCGGTCTGTGGGGGCCGACCTATGGCCGGCAGTGGTGGAGGGGCGCGTCGAGCACGTCACCTGGCGGCGTCGGCGAGCAGCTCGTCGTCGGGCAGCACCTCCAGCGCTGCCAGCAGGTGCGCGTGGGGCGCGTGGCGGGCGCCCTCCGCGCGCAGCCCCCGCACCAGCGCCCCGCACAGCGGCAGCGCGCGCGCCCCCGCGCCGCCCACGCGCGACCACAGCGCGCGCGCCAGCGACGAGATGCGCCACGCCCTGCGGCAACATATTTATTTATCTATTTGCTTATTTGCTTATAACATGGTTTCACAAGGTGTTATAAATCATAATATTGTACATGTTATGCTAATTTTTATATAGCATGCAAAATATTACTGATATGAGCTTCACTATTTATATAAAGTTTACAAAACACAGCTGCAGTCAATTCTAAATTAAATGTCACAATTTATAATAAAGAGTAGAAAAAATAAAATTAAAATTAATTAAAATAATGTCATAATCTTCTTAAATACCAAATCAAATCTTATGATGTCGTAAAAATTATTTACTTTTAACCATATTAATAACTTTTTTTTTAAATTGTCTGTCATCTAGCATTTTCATGCAATTGGGTATTTTATTAAAAATTCGTACACACATCATCAAACAATTATTACTATACTTGGCAGATCTAGGGATGTCTTTTAGCACTAGTCTATGTTGGTTATATTCATATTACTCTTATTTTATACTCATATTACTCTTATTTTATGTGAAAAGTTACTCAGCGAGCAGGCGGTTCATATGATGTTAAGTGAGTACCGCCGCCTTGGACTTCTGCTACTCCTGCGGGTGCAGATGCGTTGACATCTCCGGCCCCCTCACTCGCTCACGAAAGTATTTGTCATACTTCCACTTTACGCCGGTCCTCTGTGAGCTTGTGGTACTTACCCGGACGGGCCTGCCCATTCGTGCAACAGCCGAGGCTGCTGCGTGGCCATACCACGGAAAAATGTCTCTAATGTTAGTTGAACGCCATAACTTCGATAGTTCTCGATCGAATTCTATCCAACAAGTTTAAAATGATGCATGATAACGCCATCTATTGACATTTTTTTTAATGAAAGATAATTAAGTAGACTAAAATTTACCGTCAATTTTCGAAATAACGTATCATTTTTTGACAAATACGTATTTTACACATTACTCACGCAAATATACCAGTGCCGCAATGACTGATCATTGATTTTACTAGTATTATAAGTTTCTCTTTTTTCATACACAACCAACATTTTTGTTTTAAGCGAAAAGCTGCCAAGCGAGCGGACGGTTCACCTGATGCCAAGTGAATACCGCCGCCCATGGACGTCCGCTTCACCCGAGGGTTGCGGATGCGTTGACAACCCTTGCACGATGGTATTGCGGCCCGTGCCCACCTCTGCGTGAGGTCCTTGGAGTGGGCGTGCGTGGCCGCCAGCGCCGTGAGCAGCGCGTGCGACACGCGGTCCGTGGCGCTGGTGGAGGCGCGCGCCGCCCGCGCCAGCTCGCGCCCCACCGCCCTCTCCGCCGCCGCCACCGCCCCCGCCCCGCCGCACGCCTCGCGCTCGCCGCACTCGCGCACCAGCCGCACAACCTTCGGCACCTGCGCAAACCCCATTCATGTTTACATAATATATTTTAGGCGAATTATGAATAATTTCAATCGAAATTTATACAATTCGAAGATTCATTTCCATTTACAATAGAAATTTTACACACCAGTTTTTGAATAGAATACATCGCGCAATTTGTTTTTTTTTTACATTATTATTGTTTGCAATTATTTCTTAATGCAATAACTCTTTCTTTTCAATTGTAGAAAATACAAACCCCCACAATTCTTTCTCAAGCGGCAAGCATAATTTGGTTTACTTTCATGTTGAGGAACTATTTAAAGGGATATTTTTTTGTAATAGAGCAACTCCATGGAGGCAAAACTCCATGTTAATTTCAAACCTTCATTCGACATACCATCATTTAGAAAAAATAGATAGGCATAACTTTTTATAAGCAAGATGTCAAGTAAAACATCAACTCTAGCTCGGTAGACATCTTATGTCCAGTTCCTATATTCAACGAACGGCCATTAATTACATAGTCATTATGAAGTCGTTATGAAAGATACGATGTTATGTAACTAACGGCCGTTCGTTGAATAGAGGAACCGGGTATTAGAGAGCAACCCATGATTGGCATATCTTTATAGATAGCAAACCTTTTCACGCATAATTACATGTAAAGCAGCAACCCTAGCTCAGTATACCTTCATATAGAGCATTAATTCATAATATACATAACTTTATATAAACAGCAACCCTATTTCTTAAGGGACAATACATAGTCTCATCAGTAGCAACCCTAGGTTTAGGTCGATTTACTTTCAGCAGTAAATTTTAAAGGCAGCAGCCCTATTCAACCCTAGCTCCGTATACCTTCATATAGAGCATCAATTCAAAACATATATAACTGTATATAAGCGGCAACCCTATTCCTTAAAAGACAAAACATCTCGATTTACTTTCATACAGAGCAAAAAACTTTAAAGGCAGCAGCCCTATTCAACCCTAGTTCGGTATACCTTCACATAGAGCATCAATTCATAATATGCATAACTTTATATAAGCGGCAACCCTATTCCTTACAAAACAAAACACCTCGATTTACATTCACGCAGCAAACTTTAAAGGCAGCAGCCCTATTAAGCCAGCTCGGTGTACCTTCATGTAGAGCATCACTCCATATTATACATAACTTTATATAAGCGGCAACCCTATTCCTTACAAGACAAAACACCTCGATTTACATTCACGCAGCAGCCCTATTGAGCCGGCTCGGTGTACCTTCATGTAGAGCAGCAGCAGCAGCAGCGGGTGCCTCTCCGCAGCGGCGAGCGCCGCCGCCAGCAGCGCGTGCGGGGCGCCGCAGCAGCGCAGCAGCAGCGGCAGCCGCGCCTCGGCGCGCCGCCTCGCCCCCTCCGCGTCCCCGCAGCCGGCCCCCTCCGCCCCCATGTAGCCGATCAGCACCTCCAGCTGTTGAACACGACTGCCCTTAGGAAACTACGACGCGAGTGAATCAAATCAAATGGCTTGAGGTGTTTTAACACAACCGATCTTAGGAAACAATTGCGGTTCCAACAATAAGAGTGAATTTTGAATCAATATTCACTCTTAGTGTTGGAGATTGGAGTTTATGAGACACATTTGATGATTTAATTTGTTAAATCATCAAATGTGTCTTAACACAGCCGCTCATTCCGTAGGGGCTATAGGAGGAGTTGCAAATATGGAGAGAGGGGGTGGGGTCGTCGCCCCGGGCGCACCTGTCCGTGGGAGAGGCTGAGCGTGTCCTCCGGCTCGTAGTGCTTGGGCGTGGCGCGGTCGCGGCCCTGCCACACGCGCGGGCTGCCGGCCAGCGTCTCCGCGAAGTCCAGCACCGCGCTCGCCGACCAGCCCCTGCAGCGGATGCATCGACTGACATCACCAACGAACTATTTTCTTTGTTATTATTTCGATACTATGCAGGTCTCCTCACGATGCTTTCCTCCACCGCTGTGCACTTTATAAGTCTGCACCTAAAATTGACAATTTCATTGGTTTCACCGGCACCGGGATTTGTACTCGCGTTGCTAGAGTCAATTGAAAGCGAGCGCCCGGACACTGATATGAAATGGAAGTGTTACACTACGGTGTATCCCACCACCATATATATCTTTTAATAAAACGGTACCAGTTTATTAAAAGGTGGCAAGGCATCTGCAATCCTAAGGGTGCTGCAAATGTTAACTGGTGGCGGTTATCACTTAACATCAAGTGAACCTTAGACGGTTCACCTGAACTTGATCTTTACCACCGCTACGATCCATTACGTTACATAGTATACATCCTCGCAATAGTTGCAACGTTTGCGATGTTTATGCGGGGCGGTCCTCATTTATTAGGGAACAGCTTGCTCATCTTATTTTTTTTAAAACTACAAAAGGGAAGCCCTACTGACTTGTTGGGCTGAAGCAGTGCTGTGAGGCAGGAGTGCAGAGTTCGCCAGGAGGCTCGATGTGCCAGCAAAGTCACCAGTAGGGGGCGCCACGGAGCGCCACCCGCCACGAACATCAGCTGCATCTGAAAGATAAACTCTCTTTGTGTTTATTCTTATATTTTCGCTCTGATAACATCGGCCGCTTAATCGGTATAGCGTCTGGGCGCGAAACCAAAGACGCAGGTCGAATCCAGCAGCGCCGAAGGTTTTCGTTTATTTATCTACAAAAAAAAATACAATTTGAACTCTCATTGTGAAGTATGAAACGAACAGCAGTAAGGAGAGTGAATTTTCCGTTACAAAATATATAGCGTGTGTCGCACCTTCAAAAATAAGTATTTTGAGGCGTTTGATGAAGTTATTTTTTTCTAAACTGTATATTTTTCTGGAGGTAAGTAATTTGACAATCAAAAGTGAGTGCAATGCTTCTATGTCGAATAAAGATTTGAATAAAAGACTTCAAAAAAGGTTATTAACGTCAACAATACAAACAACCTTGGACCTAAAAGATGTATCTGGGAACCCATAAACTGTTTATTTCCGAGCGAATATTTCTTAAAAAAAAAAAATTCGAAAATATGCGAAGTCTGCCAATCCGCAGTGGGGTCGCGTGGTGGACTATGCCCTGATACCCTCTTTACAGAGGAGGCCTTTGCCCAGTAATGTCCCACATTAAAGTCACTTTACTTTTTTTACTTATGATTACTGATCGCAGACCATTACCTGCCTGCCGAGCGTCTCCCGCTGCAGCTCGGAGAGCCAGTCCAGCAGAAGGCCGCAGCCGAGGCCGCGGCGCGAGAACACGTGCGCCGACGCCTCCTCCTCTATCTCGCTCTCGCATTTCACCTGCCACAGGGACAAAGACACATGCTGTATTCACCCGGCCATTGTATGGGTTCCGTACCCAAAGGGTCTATCACCAAGACTCTGCTGTCTGTCTGTCACCAGGCTATCTGTGTCTCATGAACCGTGATAGAAAGTTGAAATTTTCACAGATGACGTATTTCTGTTGCCGCTATTTGTCTTTTACTTGCGCCGTTTCATAGACTTCACAGCGTCCATAGTGCTGGTAAAGTTTATTGACTTTTGTGAAGTTTGTTTATTTTCTAAATACAGAACTTTCTTAAAACTTGGACTGTTCTGTTTTTGAAGATGTGATAAAATGTTCTATTCATATTTTTACACAAATCTATCTAGTTAGCGAAGCTTGGTAATATGAGTGTACTAGATAAATGTTAAAGACATTTCTCTTGCCTCGGACTAGGAAAGACACTCATCAAAAACACACATCTTAACTATTGGATAGTCGAAAGATTTTTGTCATTCTTCTTCTTTCTCCTGCCTTATTTTACACTCGGGTCAGCACAACATGTCCTTTCCTTCATGTCATGTGACTAGATGAGTAAAGTAGATGAATATGGTTGGAGAGTGTAAAGCTAGAAGAAGACCAAGAAAGATTTTTGACATTATATGTTGTATATAATATACCTTCGTTTCGTAATGACCGTCCTGGCTCTTCTCCAAGAGGATCGAGATGACTTCCACCACCAGCTGGGTGTCCTGTGTCTCGATGATGTGGTTGCCCACGGCCTCCAGGCTGCTTGGGGAAGTGGCCTCGAGGGCTGGTGAAGAAAAAATTAAAACAAAATGTATGGGGCTTTTGTCTTGTTAAATAAATAGATAGGCACTGATTTATTAGAAAAAGAGACATTTCGAGTTCGGTCGCAATATGAGAAAACAATAAGTGGGGTGCCTGCAGCCCGCGCCCGCGCGTTCCTCTCGCTCGTCTTATGCGCCGCAACACAAAAAAAAATTAAGACAAATTGGGCAGGGAATGGTTTAAAGTTTAAAATTGAAGTGGTATATAGGTGTCGTGTAGTGCATTGTAGGGGCACCCACATATAGCATACGTGAAAATCACACTGGTGTAGAGAGCGTGGGGAATTTTAGCGTTTGGTTTGATCAATGAGAAGTTGAGGTTGCTGCGTAATGAAATTAATAGAGGGCTGCCACCTTCACTGGGGGCTTATCTGTCGTTTCGAGCTGAATGCGAGTTAGGAGGAAAAGGTCACCGGCGATAAGTTGGTCCCTTGTGGCAGCCGGCGGCAGAGAGGGCGCGGGCGGCGTGTCGCAGGCGCCGCCCGCCGCCGCGAGCACCAGCTCGCCCACGGGGCCCGTCAGCCACTTGCCACCCGACACCAGGGCGCGCGCGATCTGGACGGCGTGAGCGTTATTGGAAATGGAACACATCTGGATGCCTTTTAAGCGATAAATTCATTTCTTATATTAGTAATGAAACCAATTTACACGGCGCTGGCTGGATTTTAACTGAAGTCGAACGAATATACAGAGTTTAAAACAAGCGCCCGGGTACTGAACAAGTACAAATTCATTCAATGAATGCTGCATTCATATCTGATGATGATACCTGGCGATTAAGGTGGTGTAGTTGTCAAGGAATTGCTGTGGGTCGTGGGTTTGATTCCCACATGGGACAACTATTTGTGTAACCCAAAAATAAATTTTTCGAATAAATTAATTTTTGAATATCCTGCAGTAAGGGCAATGTTTAAAAAATATTGTATTTCATAAGTTTGGGAACGTTGGTGCAACTCAGGAGTTGTTTTTGAAGATGTCCACGCGTGGCGGTATTCTCTTAACGTCAGGCGAACCGCCTGCCCGTTCGATATGCTCGTGTGCAAAGTGAGGTGGCGCGCACCTCAGGCAGGGCGCGCGCCCTGGCGGCGTGCAGCGTGCGCAGCAGCGCCGCAGCGTGCGCGGGCCTGCGCAGCAACGCGTGCGGCGCCACGCTGCGCAACAAGGTGCAGGCGGCGCGCGTGTACGGACCCTCCTCGCCGCGCCCGCCCTCCTCCGCTATCAGCTGCGGCCGAAAGCGAGTTATTGACAAAACTTCACGAAATTGAATGACAACGCGTCTGAACGAACGAAACGAATGAAATTAGTGAAACGGAATAAGGTAGAAAGCGATATAGATTGCGCCGCGAAATGCAATTTTACAGCCGATCCATTTACCTTACACCATTATTTACAACAACCTCTTTTAAAATATATCTTACGATTTTATCGAAAATCTTTTAGTTCTCGATCGTTAATTTTTTTACAAGGTTCGCATTGTAAAGTACATTTCTTTCCTTATACCTTGTGATTACCTATGGCAATGCCAAGAAGGCAAGAATTCGGCGTTAGCCTAACGTCGGGAATCGTAGATATCAAGCGCTAGGTCAATCCATACTATACATATATGTACCACGCAAGAAAATCTTGATCTCGTATTGTTAATATTCCCAGACCTTTGGATAGAAGGCTTGAGAGGGGAAGGCACGCTTACTGCTTCAACATGTCTTTTATAGGAGAGTTCCTTGGCTCTCCTCAGATCAGGTGTCAATCGCTGGCGAGATCATGGAAGTGTTCGAGTTCCAGTCCTTACCGATATGTTTCAGTTCATTATATTCAAAAATTTTGTGCATTCAAACAAATAATCACATACCCATAATCTGTTTTGTGTTTTTTTTCCTCTCTTATTTTTACAGTTTTTTTTATTTTCCTTTCAGCAATTTTTGTTTATATTTTTTTTATCTAGTGTAAATTAAGTTGAAAACATTGTTGCCATGATATCGTAGCATGTTGTGTACGCATAGTTTTGGCGGACAGTATGTAATTTAATTGTTTACCTTATCGAACTTTATTGTGATGTGTATATTACTGTTTGCTGTTTTGTGTGCCGAATTAAATGAAATAAAATAAACAAAATTCGAAGACCCTCGCCCACCAGAAATAGGCCACTGTTGGCGTACGTACGGCGTAGAGCTGCGTGCAGGCGGTGTCGACGTCGAAGCGGCAGTCGTCCGCGTCGAAGACGGCCGAGAGCAGGCCGAGCACGTGGTCGGGCTCCAGCCGCGGCACGGCGCTCACCGTGTCCCAGGCCGAGGGGCCCTCCTCGGGCAGGGGCTCCTCCGCGAACAGCGTGTCGTCTGCTCGGTGACAGGTGTGAGTGGTCAACATTGTGGTGCCATCTACCGGGGCTGTGCTAAATGGTCACAAGTATAATTTCACGGTGGTAGGGCCACGCAGCAGCCTCGGCTGTTGCACGAATGGGCAGGCCCGTCCGGGTAAGTACCACAACCTCAGAGAAGACCAGCGTAAAGTGGAAGTATGACAATTACTTTCGCGTTTCGTCTGGTGAGTGAGGTAGCCGGAGCCCAATTTTCAAAAGGTTGTCAACGCATCTGTAACCTTCGGGTGTAGCAGATGTCCATGGGCGGCGGTATTCACTTAACATTAGGTGAACCGTCTGTTCGTTTGACAACTTTTCGCATAAAAAATAAAAATAAATAATAGTGTTAAAGATTCGCCACTATCGGGGCTGTGTTAAATTGTAATGACGGTCGCACTCGGATATGCTAATTTAACTATTTTTTTGTAAGAAGATCGAAAGAGAGCCGCCACGCTTGATGTTAGTGATAACTGCTACCCGTGGACATTTCCAACACATAAAGTGGGCTTCGGAAAGTATACTTCCACTTCACGGCGTTTTTCTGTGAGGTCGTGGTACTTGCTCGGGCGGAGCCGCCCATTCGTGCAAAAGCATACTGTCACACGCCCCTAGTACAGTTGTAACACTTGCGGGGATCCATGTCTCTTAAGAGGGAACCATTGATTCTCAGGTGCCGATACAGAGGTGGAAGGGCCTAGGGTGGTGCTTCTCGATTATGACGGGGATTCCAACTTAGGAGTTTTCTACCTAAATTCAGGAAGTTTTTTAGATGTAAATCCATTGAAAGTCGCAAAATTCTATATTATTTTATGATTTAGTGAATTTTACGGGATTTCGGTGGGTTTTTGTATCGCTTCGGTCGGTAACGCTAGGTTCGGGTGTGTCCGGCCTCCGCATCAGCAGGGAGGGCCGCAGCGCACCTGGCGGCAGCTGCGGCTGCTGCAGGTGCAGCGCCGCCGCGAAGGCCGCGCCGCCCGTGGCGCCGCGCGCCCGCTGCACCGTCAGCAGCTGCGCCATGTACGCGCGCTCCACGCCCAGACGCACCACCGCGCCGGCGGGGCACGCGTCCAGCGCGGACAGCAGCGCGCTGCACGCATATTGTTTTTTTTTATGTGAAAACTTGCCAAACGAGCAGACGGTTCACCTGATGTTAAGTGAATACCGCCGTCCATGGACATCTGCTACACCCGAGGGTTTTTGAAAATTGGGCTCCGGCTACCTCAAACACAAGACGCGAAGGTATTTATTATACTTCCACCTTACACCGGTCATCGGTGAGGTCGTCGTCTTACTTGGACGAGCCTGCCCATTCGTGCAACAGCCGAGGCTGATGCATGGCCCTACCACCGTTTCAAAAATCATCCAGATCTAAAAAATAGCTATCGGCGGCACACAAACGATGTGAACGTCGATGGCTCAGCAACTGGACCATCGAGTCAAACAACCTATCTCTTTACTATCCGAATCTATATGTTTGTGTACGTGCAATTAGCATTTTTGCCCAATAAATCTCTTTCTCTCTTTCTTCTTTGTCCCAAAAATCGAAATAATATCATATTTAAATGTAAGGTTAATTAAAGTAAGAAAATTGCTCTTTAATATATATATAAAGACTAGCAGACCGACAGATTTTAATTAATTGTATACTGGACACACAAAAAAATTTAAAAAAAAAACATTGTAGTGGACCGAATTGTTAATCTAAACCATTCTCGAACCTACCTAAAGACACACAAAAAATCATTAAAATCGGTCCAGCTGTAGAAGTTAAGTGACATACCCGTAAAGAAGAACTATACATACAGAATATTTAATACAAGAAAACTGTAAAAGTTACACAACCAGGCGGGCATACCTCATGGAGGGCACCGGCATCCCGAAGGTCTGTATGAAGAGCGCCAGCTTGTGGGCGGGCAGCGCCCGGAGGCCGGCCTCCAACAGGGGCGGTCGGGCGGAGCGCACCAGGTGCAGCCGCAGCCAGTCGGGCAGCAGCGCCTCGCCCCCCTCGCCCCACGCGCTCGCCTCGCCCCCTACCCACATCGACTGCAGCCACGAGTACATCTCCTGGTTCGTGTCGTCTGCCGAGCGAACGATCAACATGTTAGTACACTTTCCTGTTTGAGTTTGTTTATACTCCTAGCGTTCATCATCATCATCATCGTAAGACCACATCGCTACGAAGCACGATTCTGAGCCACCTGCACGACTTTCTCACACTTGCACAGGTTTATCTAGTTGATGAGTTGATGAATTCTGCCATTCAGTTTTCAGGTCTTCAGGAAGTTGAGAGTCCCACTCTTAACTTCCTGAAGACCTGAAAACTGAATGGCAGAATTATCTGACTAATTTTAAACACATACAGGCCATTCAGCTTCCACGTTGGTTAGGGATTGCAAATAATGTAAAAATTGTATTGCACGGTTATTGTGACGCCTCTTGCGCCGCCTATGCTGCGGTTATTTACATCAGTTTTTAACACAACCACGCAAGGCGCTAGCCAACCCAGAGGGTCAAACGTTTTTGCTATCGCAGATAGCACATTTCGTTTTGTAAAAATGTCGTTATCATAAGATAAGTTAACTACCAGTTCAAATATATCACTTTGTGGTTTCCAGGCTATGCCCAAAGCTTTCACCGAATCATCAGTTTTAATATTCACTGAACTTTTTAATGCTTTTTTAGAGTCGGGAATCTCACTTAAAACCGTTTCACTATTAGACGACCACTTATGTAGAAGAAAACCGCCACGTTTAAACAGTTCAGTTAAGCGACGTTGAAGCCGTTGAGTGTCTTCTTCTGTAGATGAGCCCGTCATCAAATCGTCCATATAGAGATCAGTTTTTAGTAGTTCAGCTTCAGGAAACTCTCCACGTTCGTCCTCTGCAAGTTGATGAAGTGTCCTTATGGCAAGATATGGGGCACATGAACTGCCATATGTGACGGTAAGTAACCGATATTCTCTAATCGGATCTTCCGATGACTCGCACCAAAAGATTCTCTGGTAATCAGTGTCTTGCCTTGAGATAAGTATCTGTCGGTACATTTGTTGTATATCAGCTACTAGGCAGTACTTATGTTGTCTCCACCGTGTTACTAAATCTCGTATATCTTGTTGCAGCGGTGGGCCGATGAGTAGCTCATCGTTAAGTGAGTTTCCGTCTACAGGTTTAGCGCTTCCGTCAAAAACTACGCGCAACTTTGTAGTGAGGCTCGAGGCACGAAGAATAGCGTGATGTGGTAGGTAATAAGCTCTATTCTCCTTCTCTGTTTCAGGGACAACCTCCATGTGACCGAGTGATTCATATTGCCTTATAAACTTGCAGTATTCTTTGTGAAACTCGGGTCTTCGCTTAAACTTATTCTCCATCTGATGTAAGCGCTTCAAAGCAAGTTGTCTGGAGTTACCTAAATTTGGAGCGTCTTCGTCCTTGAAGGTTAGGCGAACCTCATATCGTCCGTCAGTGTTCCGAGTGTGAGTTTTCTTAAAATGCTCTTCACACTGCATCTCAGGTTTTGACAGAGGCTTCACGTTTGGTGAATATTCATTGATCTCCCAAAACTGACGTAGCAACTGATCAACTTAGACGTGTGTGTGCATAACAACTACATTGTGTGACTGATGGCTAGACTGCGCAACTTCGCCGCTTACCAGCCAGCCCAATCTTGAGTTCAAAGCGACCAGAGACTCATTCCGTTTTATTATTCCGTCAAGAATAATGTGCGCATATACAACTGCACCTAATAGCACGTCGATAGAGCCTGGCTTGTGAAAGTGTGGATCCGCAAGATCCGAAATCCCAGAAGAAGGCCAGGTATCTGATGGGAGCTCTTGTGATAGTAATCTCGAATTTATTCGTCTAAGAACGTACGCCTTAGCTGTGATCATGTGTGATGGATTTCTTATAGCATGAAAGTTCAACGTAACTTGTGACTTAGTTGTCAGTGGTATAGATGATATGCCAGTAATTTTTCCGCTGATTGAAGTGCGCTCGAGATTGAGCAGTTGAGCTGCCGCTTCAGTAACAAAGTTTGATTGCGAGCACGGATCAATCAGTGCTCTCAAGACTATCGTATTGCCGTTCCTCGACTTTACTGCAATTCGTGCGGTTGCCAATATTACTTCCTCACTGTCGCTGTCAACCTCAGCCTTGTAAACGACGGTTGATGTGGTTTGGCTTGTTTCAGGTGTATTGGGTGTTCCTGCATCGGCACTGATGTGGTCTTGTTAGGGTTTGTGAAGTGCAGCAGAGTGTGATGTCGTCGACTACATTTTCTACAGGTGGTGCTCTGCCTACACGCTTTAACGGAATGACCCTTTACAAGGCAATTAAAACAAATGCCATTCTTCTTTATAAAATTCTGACGTTGGGGAACATCTAATGCGGCGAATTCTTTACAATGACAAATATAATGGTTTTGTGAGCAATAAGTGCATTCGCTGCTTACTTCTGTGACAAATGACTTCATATTTGTAGGTTTTTGGGTTGTTTAATTTTTAACTAAGTCCTCTTTCTGCGGTTGGTCTTTTTTGTGGGTAACATTTACCATCTCCATAGAACGGAAACGATTTTCTAAAAATAATGATAAACTGGTAAATGTGGGTATGTCTTGAGATGATCCAAGTGACTGTTCCCATTGTTTGTGTGTTTCTAAGTCCCATTTGGATACAACTAAATGTACGAAAATTGCATCCCAAGTGGAGGTATCCACGCCGAGATTGTCAAGAGAATTCAAACATTCCTTCGTAGTATCTAAAATTTCCTTTAAGCTTTTAAAACATTCTGTGTTCATCTTCTTTTGATTTAAAAGGCGGCTAATTATTGTAGTGACAATCATACGTTTGTTACTGTATCTACTCTCAAGTGTGCTCAAAGCCTTATCGTAATTAGCTTCCGTGAGTGCAAAATGTTTTAGAAGTTGTTCAGCCTCTCCCGATAAACTCGTTTTTAAATAATGATGTTTTTCAATCGTTGTTAGATGCACGTTGTCATGCACGAGAGCCTTAAACAAATCTTTAAAACTTGTCCAGTCGTTATAATTACCAGCGAACTTTGGAATCGATAAAGGAGGTAATTTAGTTCTAATCGGGGTGGTCTCGCCATCATTTGTTGCTAAAAAACTCTGCGTAGTATTATTTGATTGTGGTTGACCTTGACCTTTCGAAAATTCCAACAAATAATCCTTTAATAATCCCTTAAATTCTAGGTATATGTCTTCAGTTGTCTCGTATAGACTTTCGGCATTAAATTGTAATTGCTCCAGTTCAGTTTTCGTAACCGTTGATTTAATCATCTCATATTGAGTTTGATACTTAGACCAATAACTTTCTAATGTTTCTAAGCGTGTTTGTAGATAGCCAAGTGTGTATCTTGATTTAGACGTCTTTTTAGTATTACTTTGTAGCTTAGAAATACGTTCCGATAACGTTGTTTGTGATTCACAAAGTTGAGCCATTGTTTACGTTTATGAAATTCAAGTCTAATCTTACCAACTCGCAGTAATTAGCACTTAGCCTTTTTACTATTGTTTTTAGCACTTATTACACTTTCTCAATCCGGCTCGAAGGACCAAACATGTTAAAACTACATCTTTTAACCCACAAATTTATTGAAAGTAACAGCGAGAATACAATTTTTTGATTACTGTCACTAACGTCATATCTAATTTTTTCCTTTTTCTGTTATTAATAAAAACAGGTTGTAAAGTCAATATAGTCGAATGATCGTAACCAGATAAGAAGAATTTTACATTAAACAGTAGGAGTCTCGAGAACCTTTAGAGCTATGTTGGTTACCGGTTGCTAGCGTTAGATTGATAATTGTCAACATAGACCTATGATATGGCACAGTTGATAAATATAGAAAATGTATCTTTCTGGTATTTCTTCCACGTCTATATAATACTTGTACTTAAAATAAGTATAACGGCAAAAATTTTAAGTATTATTGCGAACTATTAGGAAAGAATTCACAACATAATTGTTTCCATCGAAAACAAAGACACTGAATTTACAATGGTGCTGTTTCCAAACCAAATGGCGTAACATAAATATCCGTAATATTTATGTGAGAGCTTCGATCATTAAAACCCTAAGAAAATAATATTTAAACAAATCCTTCACAAAATTTACGTAGACAAATACGACAAAATTTCACATTTTACGTTGCGTATCGAGCGTGAGTTCGCTTACATATCGAGGGGCCGTAGCAGAGCAGTTTGAGATGCGCGTGCATCAGAACCACGTGCACCTTGGCCCTGCGGCCACCGGACCACTGCAGCAGCACCCGCTCGGCGCCGCCCCACGCCTCGGGATCCTCCTCCTCGTCCTCCTCCACGCCCGTGCGGATCACCTGATAAATGCAATGGGAACATTCAACAGAATAATATATAGCTTTATGGGGAAATAGGGCCCTACAGAAGTCACTGGAGTTCCTCACATATCTTCGGAGGATTTTCTTTTTGCTAGGAATAGCTCCTGATGTATTCTGAAGGTATGCTTTACGGGGTCATGTACTTTTTTATACCACTGAACACTTTTAAGCAGTAATAGAAGCTTTAAATAAATTATCATGGAAAAAAAAATATCTCAGCATCTCAGTAAGCGGGGTCCGCACTTTTCACAAGTTTGGAAATCCATGTGCAAACATAGAGGTTCCATAAATCCCGTTCCCATGTCAAAGTGCACAACTTTCGAAAGTTTCGAGTTTCGTCTGTGCGTTCTTTCTTTCGGCTTGTGCGTGGATGGGGGCTACTTGTCGTACTTGTCGCAGATGGGCGTGCAGGATGCGCGTGAACGAGTAGAGGGCGCGGTGTTGCGCCAAGTGGCGCTCGTCCCGCGGCGCCTCCCTGGACCCCACCTGCGGCAGCACGCAGCCGGTCACCGTCGTGCGCTCCATCAGCACGTGGCTCAGGTCCTGGAACATACGGCAAGAAGAGTTACTCAACCCTGTCGTCTACACTGTTAATAGTACAAGACGTTAGAAATTGACTGGCATTTTATGAAATGGTAAGCGGTCATCATCATTCTCCTGACCTATCCTACCTAGGTGGGGCGCAAAATGTGATTCATGTTGTAAACGGTTTTGGCTGTATTCTTTACGATCACACATAGATCCGGAACATTTATCTGTGGGTCACACAAATACTTGTCCCGTGTGGGAATCGAACCCCCAAGCCCCGACGCCGAAGCAAGTTCATAAGTACCAAACGTAAAGTAAAAGTTGAAGGATAAACAACATATGCAGGGAGGCTTTTTTAAGTGTATCCATTTTTTTACATTAAATTCTAGACATATATAATGTAATATAAAAATGATAAATATTCACTTCTAATTAATTAATTACATTCATTTTAACTTATCTCAAAAGTGCGTGATTTATGGGCAATTCATTTATTTTACGCGCGATCATTCATAATTAACACGCACACAAGTTCGTTTCAAATATATACGACGCATTTATGAATGACCATATACCGCATTGTCAACAAGTTCCGTTTTTTTAGGAAATAGTGGCAATTTTTTTGGAAAAAAAAAAAAGGTTTGTTTTTATTTGAATAAACGATTACACTACCGAGGCCGAGCCTCCCGTGTAAACTTGGGCAGCTTTAGAGAAGCCACCCTGTATAAGCGTATTGATATCAGAAAAACACGTAAGCGTGGAGCGGGAGAGGGCGCACCAGCACGAGGTCCGTGTGGTCGTGGTCGGGCGTGGCGGCCACGTGGTCGGCGAGGAAGGCGAGGTAGGCGGCCAGGTGGCGCGGCGCGCACTCCACCAGGCAGGCGGCCCGCACGCGCGCCACCGCCTCGCCCCGCACCGCCTCCCAGTGGCGCAGCGACCACAGCAGCCCCAGCCACTCGCTGCAACGAGTCCCGGGTTAGCTCTTTGCTTGCCGAACGCTATTCATATGCACGATTGTAATAGCTCTAGATCGTTTAGTCTGTCTAAAAGCTCGCGCAGTATGTTGGCGTGGTTGGACGTAAAAGAGAAAAAGCAATAACACTTTTGTTGGTGAAATGTATTGCTTACTCTGGACTGACATCCGCGTTGTAGTCCATCTCGGCGGTGTCCTCGGTTTGCGAGAGCACTAATTTAAGACCCTGAAAAAAAGAAATATTAACAAAATTTTACAAAACTGATCCAAAGTCGACAAACTTTCAAGTCATTTCCCCCACTCGTAACCTCTTGCAATCCCACGCATATGCGACTATGTTCAAAAGACATATAGGTAGGTGATGAAGTGCCATAATAGCTCTGTGTATGGGCGCTCAATTTTTATTACAGAATCCTTTTTTTTTATGTGAGAAAGTGGCAAACGAGCTGGCGATTCACCTGATGTTAAGTGGTAACCGCCGCCCACGGACATATGCAACACCGATGGCCGGTGTGCCACCTTTTAATAATGTGGGACCCGGCTACCCCGTTCACCGGACGAAACGCAGAAGGGTAACACTTCTACTTCACGCCGGTGTTCTGTGAGGTCGCGGCACCATCCCGGACGGAGCTGCCCATTCGCGCAACGGCGAGTACTGTTGCGCGGTCCTACCGCACCTTCGCCCGGCAGTGGGACACATAGAGGCTGTCGCTTTGGGTAGCAGAGCGTCTCGGACCCTGTTGGCGGCGGCGCGCGTGGGCGCGTGCGCGTGCGAGAGCCGCTGCATGTAGTACTGCAGCACGGCGCGGGCGCCCTCCTCGCTGGCCAGCGTGCGGCGCAGGTGCGCGCACAGCTCGCCCGCCTTGCCCGCCTCGCCCCCCGCACCGCCCCCGCCCCCCGCACCGCCCGCACCGCCCGCCGATAGAAACTCGCACAGGCACTGCACCGGCAGCACGCTGCGGGTGTTTTTTTTATGTAGGATGATTGCAAGTGCATGAGCTAGCGGAGCTTGTGATGAAGTGGGCCACGGTTGCCTCACGCACTAGAGCCACGCCGGTCTTCTGTAAGATCGTGGTGCTTCCCTGGACGGACCTGGTCTATCGGGCAAAAGTGAAGTCTATTGTGTGGCCCTAGCACAGGATGTTTTACCGTATGAGATACACTGTCTTTACTTGTAACTCATGTCTCTGCTTCCAGTCAGTAGACTAGTAAAGCTTCACTGAACACGTTAAAAAACATCTTAATAACTTGAACGCTAGACCTTCCTCGATCGAGCAAGCCCATTGTACCAACAGAGGATCCGTTGCGTGGCCGAAAGCCACCCATCGGATAATCCAGGGTCAGCACCTGAGCTCGAGCTGGTCGTGCCGCAGCAGCTGATGGAGCCAGGGCATCGCGCGCCGCGTCCCGTGGCGCTCCACCAGCTGCAGCAGCAGGGCGGGCTGCCGGCACAGCAGCCGGCCGAGACGCAGCTGGGTGCTCAGCGCGGCTAGCGCGTCCGCCACCCCGCTCGGCGGCCGCCTTGCTGGTCCCAATGGCTCCAACACCGTCAGCTGAAGTGTTAACATTTAACACGAGAAGTATAATAATATTTCAGTACTTCATATGGAATACTAGAAAATCAAGACTGAAGTTACCTGACTAAGCAACCTGGAGCTGTGCTCCGTAATTGGCAGTTTGGCGTTACTGGCCGTTGCCAAGTGGGTCTCGAGCTGCAGAATTGTTGCACGCTCGGCCTCCGCGCGCTCCGTTTCCGCGGCAGAGTTGGCGTTCCACTCTATGCTCGGTTTGCTGGATGCAATAAGAACGCGAATAATATAAATTCTGGAATTCCCTTAAAAGAGGGTGAGAGAGAAAGAGAGGGTCTCACCCGGTGATGCACATCTCGATGAGGGCCCTGAGCGTGGGGTAGGTGGCGGCGGCGCGCTCGGCGAAGCCCTGCGGGTTGTGGGCCGCCAGCATCGTGAGCAGCATCCAGCCGCGCCAGTACAGCGACGTGATGGCCAGCGCCGGCGGGCTGTACCTGCGCACACGTGTATGCTGCTATTGTACAACTATATCTTTAGAATTTATGTCGCGCGAGCGTACGGCTCACTTATGCTCGGTAGATAAAAGGCGTGTACGCCCGGTTCCTATATTAACAAAAAGAGGCGTTTTCCTTACGAGCCGTTGAATTACCTACGGGAAGTGAGTTACTAGCGTTCCTTTAATATACAAGTCGTTATGAAAGTTACGAAGCTTTGTAATTAACGGCCGTTCGTTGAATATAGGAACCGGGCATTAATGAGGTAATGCAGAAGCGTTGCCGACCTTTAAAAGAGTTGGCTACGGCTATTTCAATCACAAGACGAAACGCACAAGTATATACTCAGATGACTCAGTGACGCAGTTGCCAAGGTACTGGCTTCGGCGTCGGGGGTCGTGAGTTCGATTCCCACTATCCCCACGTTTCACCATGTCCCACGGGACAACTATTTGTGTGACCCACAGATAGTTGTTTCGCCTCTGAGTTTTGTCCACGTTAAATTTATGTTTGAAAAACATCCTTACAGCACAGATTAATGTTATCCTAAAGTAAGGGCAATGTTTAAAAAAAAATACTTTCACTTCACGTCGATCTTCTGTGAAGCCGTGTCACTTACAACTTTCAACAACAGAAGCTACTCATAACCTTACCACAGATATTTTATAATTTGGTTTGTTGTAATATTAACTTTCATGTCTCATCGTCCCATCTCCCGTTCAGTTTAAAACGGCCGATTACCCCGCTGGCAGCGTGATGTTGTCCGGCGGATGGAACTGGCACAGCTGGAATATGTAGTCTGCGATCTCCAGCTTGTCCACTTGCAGGGGCAGCTCCTCGGCGGGCAGGGCGCACGCGCGCCGCACCAGCTGCTCCACCAGCTCGAACACCTCCGCCGGCGACACCGGGATCTCCTGGAATGAATGAATGAATACGGTAGTGCATTGTAATCTTAATTATCATAATTTGGTGAAACATATTCGGCTCATTTAAGCATGCAAATGCCAATTTGATATTAATAAAAATTTGTTATGCATAAACATGTTATGTGTAGAATTTTTAACTCAAAACAGAGGTTTTTTTTTATCGAAGCCTTAATTTCATTAATTTATGATTAGTATCTACATTAAAGAAATTTAAAAACCCGGCTATATACAGCGTGTCGTTACCATCGCGACAATAAATGAACACACGTCTAACGCTACTTGCCAATAATCATAAAAAAATATTAACGTTAAAAAAATCCATAATTTACAAAAAAATATTTTTCAAACAAACTAATTAAGTTAAAAAGAAACAAAATTTGTAACATCCTATACAACTCACGCCACAGCGTCGCATTACAAGCCTCTCCTTCTAACAGTATGTTTTGTCTCTTTTAAATTCATTGAACCCATTCATATGCTTTGTGACCTTTACAAATGAACTTTACGTTACGCTTTTATAGGTAAGGGTGTTCTAACATCCTTTGTTTTGGAAAATTTAATAACTCTGTAAATATTGATGTTTAAAGAAATTAAATGTTTAATACAACTTTAAAAAGTTATTTCCTATATGTGTGTTCATTTATTGTCGCGATGGTAACGACACGCTTTATAATATAATAAACCATAATTCAACTCCGCGTTAATACACTTCGTTAAGTAATTTTAGTGAAGGTATCGACGTTTCGAGTGGAGGGGAGAAATGAGTTAGTAAGAGATATGGTAGGGAGGGGGGGGGGGGGGGGGGGGCAAGAGGGGCCTCATCACCTTTGAGAGGCCAATGAAGATGAGGCGTAGCAGAGTGTTCTGAGGCAGGGGCGCTTCGCAGCACAGCCTGTAGGTGAGCGCTCGCTCGGATTCCGGTGGCCAGTTGTCCGCTTTGCTGTACGCCTCCGCCGGCTCCACGAACATTATCTTAAAAAATAATAACATATTTCAGGACGCATTTTTACACAGCGTTATCTGAGGGTACCAGATAACTGATAAACATACTTTTCTTTTGTAAATAAATACTTAATTATTATAAACATGTAAACACCTAGACGCTGAGAAAACACTATGTTCACCACATAATATTTTTCCAGTATTATGGATCAAATCCATACTCTCTGGGCCACTACTCTGGGACAGCATTTTTTCTTGACATGTTCCGGGGCTCCCATAACAACAGTCGTGATTTTTTTGCCGTTTTTAAAGATGGTACGGAATGGAAAATGGTACGGAACCTTTAGCCCGTTTTTTTAATCTTTTATATCACGCGATAACAGTATGGTAGGTCCACGCAACAGATTCGATATGCAGGTAACGTTGTGGGCGGGGGGCGCGAAGCACACAGGGGGCGGGGCGGGGGGCGCGGGGGCGCGCACCTTGTTGAGCGCGTGCTGGAAGTCGTGCCTGGCGGGGCGGTAGACCGGCACGGCGGTGTCGAGCAGCCAGCCGAGCGCGTGCTGCTGCAGCGCGCACAGCTGCGCGCGGTAGTCGGGCGCGTGCTTGCTGTGCGCCGCCGTCACCGCGCAGCAGCAGCAGAACAGGTCCGCCAGCGACTGGAACGCGCGCTCGCGGATCTGCCCGCGGCCGCGGATTTATTGCACTTTCACATATACCCTCGACAGCGTATAAGTTAAATGGCCGGTAAAATCGCCACCTGCCAAGGACCGGCCGGTTTGCTATACTTTTAAATGAAATATGCGACACCCATGCCGGAAGGTCACAATTACACAAAAAAGTCTGGAAGGCAAGCATTACGAGGCGCAACAAAGCATCGTTTGCATCGTAATGCTTGGTTGAAGCAACGTCCAATTTATCGCATGTGCGCATCAAGTAATGCAATTCGATTTAGCGTGGATATTTTTGCAGATTCTCTGGCCTCAACAAGAAAAAAATTATATGAATTATTTTTATAATCGTAAGTTAAAGTATTGGCATAAATGTATTTTTTTTAACCCTAGTTATAGTTTAAGCTATTTTGTTTTATTTAGTTTTCTATTTAGTTTTTGTTTAGTTTCTCCCATTTAAATTTAATCTCTATGTTTAATCTCTAAGGGGCGTGGGTCAAGGGGCGTGGGTCAAGGGGCGTGGGTAAAGGGGCGTGGGTAAAGGGGCGTGGGTAAAGGGGCGTGGGCGAGGGGGCGAGGCGCTCACCTCTGCGGGCGGGTCGTGCTGCGGGGGCGCGGCGAGCGCGGCGGCGAGCGGCAGCAGCGCCTGCGTCTCGGAGCGCGCGGCGCGCACGCACTCGCGCATCATCGCGCGCATCGGCCGCAGGTAGTCGTCCGCGCGGAACAGCAGCTCCTGCACGCCCGCCGGCGATGCGTTACGTTCTCTCAACTTTTTTATGTCAATAGTTCTAAAGCCGTTGCAAGCCGTTCACGTAATGTTAAATGAATACCGCTGCCCGTGGACATCTGCAACGTCCGATGGCTTGCCGATGCGTTAACAACCTTTCAAAATATGGGCCCAGGTTACTTCCACTTCACGCCGGTCTTCTGTGAGGCCGTGACCAGCCCATCCATGCAACAGCAGAAGCTGTTACGTGGCTCTCAGTGAATTGGAAGAGTTACACTTCTGCTTTTCGCCTGATGATCGGTGCGTACTTTATAAAAGGTTTCAACGCATCTGCAACTCTACGGGTGTTCTGTTGCATAAAACCATGGCATTTATCACTCGACATCAGGTGGACAACCAGCTCGCTTGCCTCCTTCTCACATAAAAATCGAGAGCCACGGTTACCTGGTAAGTCTCTGCGATGGCGGCCGGCACCAGTTGCGGCTGTGCGTGTATCAGCGCCGCCAGCACCGCCATGTTGTTCGGCGAGCGCGCGTTCGACAGCTCGTTGTAGATCGTGTGCGTCACCACGCTGCGCAGCAGAGCCGGGCTCTCGGACACCATCTCCCTGAGAAGCGGACGACGCTTATTACAGGCTTTCTTGAGTTACACTTTTAACGCGTTTGGGAAAACGATGAGGGTTTTTTTTTTAAGAAGCGCGACATTTAAAAGCGACATTGAATTCGTGGTGTTATTAGGCAGCCGGTAACAACTTTCCTGCCATGCAATGAAAGCTCTCTATTGATTCTGTTTTGAAGTAACACCTAAACTTAAACGTTTACATTATAATTGTCATAAAATCCATAATATTAAGTCTTGAGAATCAATTTTAGTTTATTTTTCAAATTTAGTATCACGTGGGTATATAAACATATATGGAGTTAACGCTGAACGCTCATACAACAACGTACAGATAAATAAGAAAAATAAACAAAAGGATCACAAGGTAATTCACCTGAGGCAGGACTGGTAGGCGACCTGTAGCGGCTTGGTCTTGAGCCGCATCCTGGCCAGCTGCGCGAGGACCTCGTGGTCTCTGGCGGCGCTGGGCCCGGCAGCGGAAGCGTTGGCGCACACGTGGGCCAGCAGCTCTTGGGCGGCGCGCCACAGCTTGCCCGAGTGCAGCCACGCCTCCAGGCGGGACGCCGCTATCATCCGGATCTGGAGAAGAACAAGTTACGCTACTAATAATGACATGACTATCTTCCAATCTGCTCAACTGTCCCGTGGTGAGATGAAAACCCAGTGTTGATTATAACCACGGCCCATTTTAGTTAGCTATGTAAATTTCTACCGACTGTCGACTTAAACAATAACTACAGTCATTACATTACATACTACACAGTTGTTCATACATAGATGTTCAGCTCTACAAATTAGAATGTAGATGTTTGTTTCAAAATAATTTAATCATGAAGAGTATTACAAAATAAATTCTTTAAACATAATTTAGGCAGCACTGTATGGTGGATGCAGAACACTTCCCAAACTAATATCTCAGTTATTGTATTCAACCAATGAGATTTTACTACAACTTCATACAAACAAAATACTTTTCCCTCAACTTATTATGATGCAATGGAGTGTAGATAATGTTAGGCATTCATGAAATTTCTGAGAACATTCATGTTGATTTTTCTTGCGACAAAACTATAGTAAAATAGTAAAAATGTTGCAAAATCGTATATGGGATACCTCTGGAAAGCCGCATGTAGCTGAAAGTAACTTGAGGAAGCCTTTTCCGATTGTATCTGGTGCAGTGCGGCGTTGAATCTGCTCCTTAATTGCTTCCAACACTAGCGCTTCCACTGTCTCATAACTGCTTGTGTATCTGTCAAATAACATATCGAAAATTTATTTATTAACACAAAACAATTATTTATATGGTTTTAGGTAACAATTTATCAATATTTTATCTGGCGAATATGAATTACAAATGACAAACAAATTTAGACATACCTTGGAAAAACAGAGTATTCAAGCTCAGTGTTATCAGCATCCTCATCGGTACTGCCCATGAGAGGTGATCCAGACCCTGATGGTGACATTGTGCCTATCAATCAAATATACAAAAGAAAAAAAAACTTTAAAAAAAACTTAAAAAAACAAAAAAAAGCATAATTGCTGATAGCCCCATTAAGTAAAATAAATAATAAAAAAAGAGTGTCCAAATCATAGCTTATCATACTATGTCAGAGAGGCTACAGCTATAGGTTTGGAAAAAATAATGAGGACTGGTGGCAGAGTATTATCCTCCCTTTAGCACCACACAAAAAATAAACAAAAATAGAAATATTTCGATAGCATAAAAAAATAAAACAATTTAGGGGGGGAAAAAAATTCTGACTTTATTCAGAACACAACAATATTAAATCAATATGGTGACATCATTCAAATAAATTAAACTTTTATAGTTGGTTTGAATATTATCTAAAATATTTTTTTCTAGTCTTATTTTGTTAAAAGTATTAGTTTATATTAACTTCTTTAGGCAAATTAAACAAGGAGGACACACATTGACTTTTCTTTAAATAATTGAAATATGAAATAATAAGAAAACGAAATAGTTTAAAGGTAAGAAAAGATTATTACCTAGTGTATTATCTGAAGGTATGAGATGCGGTGGTGGTTGCTTTGTACTAAAGGCAGTCACAATATTTTCAACCAGGCACTTGCACCAGGAACAGTCAACCCACCAGCGCTCATTAAGTGCGTCTTCTATATACACCTAGAAATAAAGTTTTGTAATAAGAATTTTATCTCGATTAAAATAATTAGATAAATGACATAAATAATATAATATGTTTTTCATTATGGGCACTAGGATTACCTATTAGAATATGACTATATATTACTAATATACCAATATAATATTGGATATAAAGTTTCAGTTATAGCTGAACCAGAGTAAGTCAGTCTGTAAATTCATACAGTTAAACTTATTAAATTATTCAACTTGGACAAGAAGTGAGGTAGATATTTCAAAGATAATTATATCATTACATGAGAGAATAGAAAGATACCTCCTTCTCTCTTTCACACTATATCTCTGTAATTCTTTACTTTATAAGTTACTTCACTTCTATCATGTATAAATTTGTAAACTTTAAATTATAATAATAAAACAAATATACCTTTATAAAAGTGTCTGGCCAACTAGTGCTGTCTTTGTGACCAGCATACAGCATGTTACATGCCAACACAAACACAAGTGGATTGCCCTTGCTCTTAAAAGCTGCGCCCTGTTCTCTTTTCAGCAAAGTGCAAAGACTTTGTGTCACAGTCTCATGTGCAAACATGTTTGGCCTTATTTTGGTGAGATACAACATGCTCATACACAGGATAATGTCAGGTTTTGAACGTTGGGACTTGAGAAGGCGAATAGATCCAGTTAAAAGCCCTAACTGAAAAAAATAATTAAATATTGAATAAACAAAACTGTTTGATGATATTTTGATATTTTCAATGTTTTACATCAAAAATCTACTAACCAGCTTATCAGAATTATGTGTATCCAATGCCTGAAGAACATTGGGCACTAAGTCAATTGGCTCCACATCCAGGGAAGTTCCACCAACTGTTTCAGCTGGAGAACCTATTCGGGATCTCTTGCTTGGCGGTTGGCTACCAAAGGCTGATGATTCCCGTTTGCGTTCCACACCTGCATATATTAAGTGTAATTTAGATATAAAAATGTTATGAAAGACGGAAAAGACTCCAAGCAACTAATAAAGTTGCAAAAATGGCCAGACACTCTCCTGTCTCACAGAAGCCAGAAGTGTCTAATTCTTTATTGAATTATATTTCTAAGGTGTTAATAGAAAAACTTTTAGCATTAAAAGTTAACCACGTTCTTGGTGTGATATAAGTCTGTGTAGAAATTACATTTTTTTTATTACAAGTTTCACACAACCTACCGCTTGTAGAAGGCTTATGAATGTTTCTTTTTTCTGAATCTCTGGACACGACCACAGTCGACTTGCTACCAAGAGCGAAAATATCTTGGGGGTGCTGCGGGGCTTTACTTTTGGCTCCACGGCCCGTTGATGACATTTTACCTCTATCCATCGTTATGCTATAAGATTATGTTTTGAATGTTGTTCAATACAAATGTATTATAGTATATAAATAATACAAATGTCGTTCACATTGCCGGTATTTCGCAATGACTCGTTAGATGGGTATTATGTATATTTAAAACCCGATATTGTAAACGCCGATTCACAACAAACAATCGACCACCATGAGCCAGCTTTGGTTAAAAATTGACAGTTTGACACATGACATATCTTTTGACAATTGCTAAGTGTTGACATTAATAATAATAATTAACACTTAACAGACTCCGGTGGTCTTTCCGAACCGTTAGGACCTGGGAACCTTCAAGAAGAGAGCATATTCTTTCCTGAAAGGCCGCCAACGCATTTGCAAGTCTGGTGTAGCAGATGTTTATTAGCATATTTTCCATGAAACCGAAAAACAGAATTGAGAATATCTGATTGGTTAGCTTAATTTTAAAAAAAAATTAGGAAAATTATACCCTTATTTTTAAATTAATGCCTAGTCCTTACTAAATTATCAAAAATGGGTAAGTGTTTTACCACACAATGAAAGTTATTAACATACAAGTAGGCGGCCATCTCTTTTAATAAATTACCATTTAGGTGTTTAGATCACGATGAAGCGAAATCTATGTATGCGTCTTCTAGTTTATTGTATCCGTTAGATGAAAACCTTCTTCAAAATCAAGTTTGTAACGTTATTATTGTATAAGCAGCGCAAAACTTTATAGCGCTTGAGTGGCTCCCCGAGGTGTGTTTGCAAAAATCATCGATGTAATATCTCAAAAAGTTAATGTATCATCATCATACCAAAAATGATATAATAAATAATTAAAAGGCTCTAGACAGGTGAAGTCAATTATATAATAAAAATACGTTTCATTAATAGAATTTATTAGAAATACGCAGACACTAGTATCTGTTAAACGAACAAAAATTACATCTCTACTGAAATCAAAATCGCATATTAATTGTTAAAATCAATTCTTGAATCAAATCTACTCTTAGTACTATAATATCTTTATAATTCATTTCATTTTCTTTACATCCGACCGCTTGTGCTTGAAGAATGTTCGCTCTCTATTCTTTAAATCATTCTTAACTTGAGAGAGTGATATTGGTGGAGTCTGAAAGAAAGCATTTAACAAAGTTAATTGAGATAACAACATCAATAGGCTTTTGTGTCCGCGATTTATTCAAGAAACAAAAATCTTATTAATTTCAGAAGTTTCTGTCAGTAGTGCAAATGAGACTACGATGAGCTGTTAAATTTTAATTTCAGCAAATTTAATTTAATTGAATATGCTTTTGTATATTGTGGAAGATGCCTCTGTTCAACAGTGGACTCAAACAGGCTGATCTTGTATCTCGTATTAAATGATGTGTGATGATGATTGAATTATTGAGTTTGTTGACTTATTTACAGTGACGGCATGCTTATTGGGATGACATGACATGGCGAGGTTGTGGAACCGAATAACAAGTGTTTTACGTGTTTAGGCTGAAGCGGGGCGCGTCGCTTCAAGGCGGCAAGGGAAGTCGGCGGCACTCGCTCCCCACGGGACAAGGCCGCGAAACGACGCTCCACTTCAGTCACCTACACGTGGAACATTGGAGAAATTAATATGAAATTCATCTTATTTAATATTAATATGTCGTGTCGATTCGTGACGAGCAATGTTAAGTTTCCATATGCTGCGTGTCAAATTGTTATCAACTGATCAAGCTGTTTATGAATAAATAGCGAACTGTCGAACACATGTTTTTGTGCTGAAAATAAATAATTTGATTCTTGACTGACAGAACTCGAAGATAGATTTTTTTAATGTGAGGAGGTGGCAAAGGAACTTGCGGTTCATTTGATGTATAAGCGATAACCGCCGCCCATTGACATTTGCGACACCCTTAAGGTTGCAGAAGCGTAGCCGCCTAATAATAACATGGGCCCCGGCTACCTCACACACCAGACGAAACGCAGAAGAACTTCCACTTCACGATGGTCTTCTGTGAGTTCACATTACTTCTCCGGTCGGAGCTGCCCATTCGTATAGCAGCGAAGACTGTTGCGTGGTCCTACCGCAGTTTGTCTGACCACATTTCGTATGTTAACTGTCGTTGATGACGTATGGGCTATGGCAGACTCACGTCGAGAGCGTCACTCTCCATGCTGCTGTCGCTGAACAGGCTGAAGATCATGCTGTCCAGCTGCTTCGGGTCGACGAGCCCCGGCTTCTTCGGCAGCATAGGAGAGGGGGGCGCCTTTATTTGCTGGGGTGATTTGTTCGTTTTCTGGATACGGAAGATAACAGGTGAGGGACGGAGTACAGCGAAATGTACTAGAGGGAGAATGGCAAAAGGCATTGAGTTCGGCCCTTTGTAGTCATATTTAAGGTAATTGCAATATAGAATAAATAAAGCAAAGAACAGTAGACAGAAAAGAGAAAAAAACAGAATAAACAAAAATATTATTATATACTTGTACATATAACTGATACTTTTATTAAAGGCGTTTAACTAAATTTCGATCACTTTGAAGCATTAATGATCACGGGACAGATTGAGGCGTTAGATGTCCTACTGTCAAATTTGAACCAGGACTAACAGTTTTTATTTATCAGTATCATTCCGGCCTATGCAGATTTTTTTTATTGGATTGTAGTTTTCAGTGGAATCTTAGATTTTATTTATATTAATATATAATAAATAGATGGCGCTATGTTAAAAGTCCAAACGTATGGACAGACGAAGTTGCGCGGGCCAGCTAGTATACTTCATAATTATATAAAAGTAAGATAATGGTTAGCACCAAATTATCATCTCTATTTTTAGCATGTTCCTTAACTCCAAAAGCTTCGTTAATCATCGGTAGAAATAGAGGTCATTTATCAATAATATACCATTTATGGAAACTATGTTGATGGTTTGATTTAATTAAAGCGTGTTCGCATACTTCGTTCCTTTCAAGTTGGATTGAGCTATATGATCTACTTTCACGGAGGAAGAACAGAAATTGTACTCCGAAGATTAGTCATAACATACTTTATATCCTCTGCAGATTAGAAAATAGTCAAAATATACCTATACAAACCGTAAAATGGGATAAATTTCTCATGAGCTAATAGAGTAAAGCGTGGTATGCGGTGGGATTCGTGGTGGCAACCTTGTGCGAGGGCGTAAGCATGACGGCGTTGTCGTCCATCTCCGGCGGGTCGGAGCTGGGCGGCGGGGCGCGGCCCGTCAGCTCCTTCTGGATGTTGTCTATGGTCTGCTGCATGCCCTGGATCTTATCCTGTAGCCGCTCCTGAGCAACGCGATGCCGCGGAACAGTTTGCGTTTCGACGAAAAATTATGACAATGCACCAATGAAGCATTGTCATTATCTTTTTTTTATGTTAGGCGGAAAGCGAACTGGCGATCCACCTGGTGGTGAGTGACAACCGCTGCCCATGGACGTTTGCAACACGTAGGGTTGTAGATGCGCTACCACCCTTTAAGAAAGACAGACGACTGACGTGTAACTTTTAAGGCCTCCTAAGACCGCCCATTGTACCTATCATCTATAATAATTTGAACTTTTAAGGTTTCGTTTTTGTATATTTCATTTTGGTGTGCAATAAAGAATTATTATATTATTATTAAATATAATATTCTTATTAAATTTATTTATTATTATTTTCCGTTTAACGCCGGTCTTCTGTGAGGTTGTACTTTCCCGGACGGACCTGCCAATTTGTGCAATAGCGAAGACCTGCGTGGCTCTACCGCAGTTTAATTCATTATTAACAGGAAAGTATATTTACAAATTAACTTGAATTAGGAGACCGTTTGTGCAATTGATGTTTGTTTAAAAAGTGGTAAGCAAAATTTAAGTCAGTCAGAAGAAGTTACTACCTGAGTGACAATTAGATTTAACACAATTAACTCAAATAAACTACATATTATATGATTTCTCAAATAACTTTGCCAACGCTAACTGCAGATAAAACTTAATAGCAAATAATACTTAATATACCGTAATCTTTGAAATTAAATAAAATAAACAGATCACTCTCATTATGAAAGTGAGAAAGTTGCTTTTAAATTTTTAGAAAAATGGACTAAGTAAAAGCTTTTCGCCGCTGCAAGGATTTGAATGCTGCGGGCTACGAGCCCGACGCTCTAACTACTGATCTAAACGGCTTATTTTCACGACGAAAATCTTAACGTATTTTATATATTATTATTACATTTTAAGTGTTTGACGTCATCTAGCATTCATTTAAGATGAAGTGTCATACAAATAGAAGGTTTAATTTAAATTTTACCACCCGAATTTCTCAATTTTAACCTTGTTCATGATTAAAGGAATATTCTAGTTGAAAAGAAGAACTTTACTTGTTACTTCGAAAAAGAATTTAAAACAACTTCTTTATATTAATATTGAATATTTTCGAGACGGATCAAAAGGATATTGGGAAGAACCAAGGTAGCGACAGCATAGTAAGATAGACTAAAATCAAGAAATGGATCGACGGTATCATCGTCACTTACCTTCTCATTTCTCATGTCCAGTATGATAGACATTTGCTTGGAGAGCTCGTCTTCTTTATCCTGCAACATATAGAAATACTCACAGGAAGATGACCAAGTATGAGGTAATTTCAACTGTCTAACTATCACGGTTCATGATATACTGCTTGATGACAGACGGATAGACAGACTAACAGACAGCGAAGTCGTAGTAATAGGGTCCCGTTTTACCCTTTCGATACGGAACTCTAAATGCACTGTGTTGCGGTAAAATCATCGGGCCAAATTGCGAATCGACTCACTCTAACTGTAGCCTCCAACTGCTCTATCTGCTTCCCCATCTTCCTCTCCCTCTCTGCCCCCGCGTCCCTTTCCACCTCTATCTCCTTCTTCAGCTTCTGCACGGTCCCCTCCAGCCGAGACCTGGCGTCGGTGCCAGTCTTCACTTCCGACATCAGCAGGTTGATCGTGTCCGCCTTAGAGTCTATCTCTTTCTCTTTCTCTTGCAGTTCCGTGGCCATTTTGCTCATTTTATCATCGGAGGTTTCCCTACGAATTGGTTTCTTCGTACATTTAATCTCTAATGACGTAGACATGGTACAATTTTAAGCAAACTTATCGAGCGTTATTTTATTTATTTATTTATGCACAGGATAAACTTTAAAATATAATAATTTGTTCAACAGTAAAAACGGTGAAGCTATTATTATTTTACCCATAGTAAGGGTAGTTTTCTAAGACAAATTCTTAGTTTCTGAGAAAACACGTCTAATCGAAGTTCTAAATACAACTTTATCAAGCTCATAACCAAAACCAACCTGTAACGTTTGAAGGCATCCTCGATTTCATTTATCTTCTCCTTCAGGAGTTTCTCTTCGGCGACCAGCTCGTCTATCTTGATGGTCTTTTCGTTTGACACATTTAAGAGCTCGCGCAGTTCCGATGCGATTTCTACTTTGTCTTTCTCCAACATGCTCAGTTGCATCTGGAGCTCTTGAACTTGCTGCTTGGCGTTGGTTAATTGCTGTGGATTGAGGTTTTTACCAAATCCTCGATATTGGATAGAGTTTAACAATAAATAAAACTATGAATCCCTGAACATTGGGAACATAATTTTAACCGTTCAAATATAGCTGTACCTGAATGTATTCGAACATTTCCTTTTCCAGGCGATTATTCTCTTCCATTATCCTTTCAAAGTTTTGCTCGATGGCAGCTTTGGCGGCGCAAGCCTCCTACAATGCAATAAAATATCAGAGTTTTAGATTTGTATCATTACCGAAATCATTTGTGAGTAGTGAAATATAATAAATAGAATGATAATAGACTAAATGGAATAAAGTTTTCATCAAACGTTTCATCATTTTATTTCTGAACATTTGCCCATGTTAGTACGCTAGGTGAATAGTCTGTGGTAAGGCCACGTAATTGCCTGTACTGTTGCACGAATGGGCAGCCTCGTCCGGCCCTTTGAGCACAACGGCAAAAGTGGAAGAATAGACCTTCGCGTTTCGTCTGGCGACTGGGGTTATATTATCCACTGTATCATGGTTCGCAATGTATCTACAACCCGTCAGGTGGTGTAGATGTCCAAGAGCATCGCTAATTTCCTAACATCACGTGCACCACGTATTAGTTCGCCAACTGTCCACGTTGAAAAAAGCCTGTAAATTCGGCCGACCTGTATTGAAGGGCGAAGGGGTTCTTACCGTCAGTTGCAGCTTTAGGGCTTCGCTGGTAGCGGTCAGCTGTGTGCGCGCTTCTTCAAGGGCTGCCACCCTCGCTTTAAAGGCATCACGCTCCCCGCAGACAACCCTAGCCAGCTCCTCCTTAACGCTCAACTCACCCTTGACGGTTGCGTAGGCCTCCTTTGCCTCCCTTACCCTACAAAACGAGCATGGGGTGTAAACGTATTAAATGGGATATTATTGCGTGCCCAATAGCGATTGGGTACTACTTCCTAGCGTTAATTTTTTACAGTGAAACCTGGTTAAGTGAGACATCAAGGGACCTGCCAATTTGTCTCACTTATACAACGTGTCTTTACCATCGCCACAATAAATGAACACACATCTAACGCTACTTGCCAATAATCATAAAAAAATATTAATGTTAAAAGAAACCATAATTAAAAGAAAATATTTTTCAAATTAACTAATTAAGTAAAAAAGAAACAAAATTTGTAACATCCTATACAACTACAACTGACGGATTCATACATTCAGAGACTTTTTCATTCTTTGCCACAGCGTCGCAATACAAGGCTCTCCTTCTAGCAGTATGTTTTGTCTCTTTTAAATTCATTCAACCCATTCATTTGCTTTGTGACCTTTACAAATGAACTTTACGTTACAGTTTTATGCGTAAGGGTGTTCTAAAATTTTTTGTTTTGGAAAATTTAATAACTCTGTAAATATTGATGTTTAAAGAATGTAAATTTTTGATACAATTTTAAAAAGTTATCCTCTATATGTGTGTTCATTTATTGTCGCGTTGGTAACGACACGCTGTATATAGGTGTTCCACTTACCCAGTGTCTCAGACATCCAAGTATAGACAGATATTTATTTATACCTGAATATAGAATAGTATAGACGTTTTAAACAATGTTAAGGTATTAGATGTGTATAATAATCATACTGTAATTACTTATATTCCATTGGAAGAGACAGAAATACAATTGATTTGAAAAAATGAAAGATTTAGAAATATCTTACTCGTTTTCAAGTTTAGTAATGGTATCCCGAGCTTCCGCGCACTGATGGTTGTATTCTTCTACAGCTCGCTTCATTTCTTCACGAATATTCATTATGATTTCATCTTTCTGTTGTGTAAGACAAGAAAATAATAATGTCAAAAATCCGTATTCGATAAGACGACGTTATCTAACCATGTTTCAAAAGATCATGAAGGTTTGGTATGTGAATATTTGGCTGTTAATATTTTTTTTACCTTTAAATCTTTAATTTTGTTTGATTGTTTAAACTTTACTAGTTCCGTCTCTACATTACCAATAGTTGCTTGCTAACTTCTTCGTCGAAGTTAAAACAAAGAAATGCATGCAATTCTACTTAAAATATTAACCGGTAAATCACGCCATATTTCTTCTTCTCATCTCTAATAATCTTTATTTTTTGCTCATCATTAAAATTGAAAGGTTAATAGGTAAGGCTAACGATGGCCGAATTTAATTATAACATCATCTAACACGTGGCAATGGATCCTGTAAAGTATTTGTGGTCAATAAAATCTGTGATAGGTTTTCGTCAGCTTTTCGTCAGACGAAATAATTGTTAAACTTGAGTTTTAGCGAGCTGGAACAACTGTGGTAGGGCCACGCAATAGTCTACGCTGTTGCGGGAATTGGTAGCTCCGTCCGGGTAAGTACCACGACCAGGGTCAGATTTAGGGGAGGGCAACCGGGGCAACAGCCCCGGGGCCTCCACAAAAAAGGGCCCCCCACAATAGAGATAAAAAAAAATCAAATTCAGACTAGTAAACAATAGTAAACAATAGTAAACAACTTTTCCTTTCATATTGTTTTTCGCGTTTTACTTTTACCTACAGTACTGTGTACAGAAATGATTACATAAAATAGAATAAAATAGAATAATTTGGGGCCAAGGGGCCTCCACTCCTATGTTGGTCCGAGGCCTCCAGACCTCTAAATCTGGCCCTGACCACGACCTCGCAGACCGGCGTGAAGTGGAAGTGTACACTTCTGCGTATCTGGTGAATGAGGTAACCGCGGCCCACTCTATTTAAAGGTGGCAACGCATTTGCAATCGTACGGGTGTTGCAAACGTCCACGGGCGGCGGTTATCACTTAGAATCAGTTGAACCACCGGCTCGTTTGCCACTTTGCACATAAAAGGGCTCACCCTCGCCAGGCTGTCGGCTTGCCTGTCGAGGTCCCGTCGGAGCTGGGCGTTGGTGGTCGCGATCTGGTCGCTCTGGCGGTGGACCGCCGCCAGCTCCTCCTCCGCCCGCTGCTTTGCGGCAGTTAAGTATTGCAGCAGCTGGGCCTGGTGCTCGTTGCTGGCGTTCACTGCCAGATTTTTTTATATATTTCAATTCAACGCTTTCACTATGCGTACCAGATAACTGATAAATGATAAACATACTTTTCCTTTGTAAAAAAAAATACATACTATACATAAATGTGTATAAACACCCAGTGGCGGCGGTAGTCTTGGCCGCCCTAGGCCCATGTAGGAAGTTCCAGCCGCCCCTTTCTCAGAGCCCATCGTATACCCCATCGTGTATCGTGGCCGCCCCTAATATGTGGCCGCTCTAGGCCCGGGCCTATTGGGCCTTAGGGCAAATCCGCCATTGTAAACACCCAGACAAAGGAAAAACACTTCATGTTCTTCACGCAATATTATCCAGAAGTGAAGATTGAACCCGCACACTCTGGCGCAAGAGACAGGTTCACTAACCACGACAATCGGGTCGCGGCCAGATTGACATCGATTCACCTCGAACAGTCGGCGTAGTTGCTAAGTTCGAACTTAGTCACGCAACTACTAAACTATGGGCTCCAGATTGATTCTTTCCTTAATTTTCATATTTCATTGTCTCCGGGACTGAGTTGGCTCGAAGTTCTTAGTTCATATTCACATTGGACAATTATTTGCATCACCCCTGCCGACTCATCAAAGAACATTCTAAAGATAGAATAATTTTAATGTTACGGCCTTCCAGCAGTTGACTAACAACACAACAAAACGGAACGATAATCCGTTACGTATTAAGTATCTGCTTTATTTTAAACCTTCAACGATAACCAACAACCATGATTACATTAAAAATGTACAATTGGAAATAAATTTTCTTAACTACCGTGAATGATCACCGTATTAAAAATGTTCTAAAGATGATCATTCTGTAAACCAAAACCTTAATACATAAATCAGAAAATATTAATCAAAGAACAAAAACCGCAACTTTTTTTATTTTCTTATTACTCTACAAAATATCGAACGTGTTTATATCCGTTCGCTGTAAATAAGATGCCGACCTTTCTCTTGGAGGCTCTCTATCAGCTGCCTGTTCCTCTCCTCCGTCTGCTGCTGCTTGCCCTTCATGTCGCGCACCAGCTGGCCGGACTTCTGGTACGCGTCGTACAGCGCTCCCTGGTCCGCCTTGCAGCGGGAGAGCGTCTCCCTCAGCCGGCCGCTGTAGTCCTCCAGCACGTCGCAGATCTCCCGCGTGCCGCACAACCTGAGCCCACCCTCAGTTGGTAAACCGCGCCGCCGTACGCCAAACTCGCCATCGCTACCACCTCGATGGTTGGCAGTCCATAAATGTGCCATTTTAAGTTTATTTGAAGTGAAACTTCTAATGCGACTTCAAAAAAGGTTGCGTTAAACATTAACGCTACCATGGAGGGGATATGAAAGCACTGTGGCGTCAAAAGTTTAACGCTCCTGGGGAGGGGGAATAGAAAGAGAAAGAGCGAGAGTGAATGTGTGGCACTCGAAGTTTCAATTATTCCACCCTGGGACTCCGCTACACTATTTCTTTTTTTAAATAAGGAAGTGTCAAGCGAGCTGGCGGTTCACCTGATAAGTGACAACCGCCATCCATGGACATTCGCAACACCCGTAGGGTTGGAGATGCGTTGCCATTTAATAAAGTGGGCCCCGGCTACCTCATTCGCCGCAACGCGTACACTCACACCTCACGCTGGTCTTCTGTGAGGTTGTGATACTTCCCGACGGACTTGCCCGTAGTGCGTAGCCCAACCTCAGTATGAGTAACTTTCTGCCACTCATAACCAAGTTGTAGAGTAGCATAAGTATTGATCTCTCACAGGAGATTGGTGTAGAGGGAGACACGGTTAGAAGTGGGCAACGACCTAGTTACTTTTTGTAACGGTTGTCCATTTGTAAAATACACATTGAGCAGTAGTGTTTTGGCGTTAAAAATTTTTCATATGAGAAAGTATCTTCATGTTTGCTAGTTCGCTACCTTCTCTTATACAACCTGATTGGAATATTTGGTTTGTTTAACTCTGTGACTACCTCTACTACTGATTTTAAATATGACTATTTGGCGCGCGAGAATATGATGATTTATTATTTGAGAAACATGTTTGCTTATAGTTTACCCACTTAAATATAGTATACATTTAGCTAGGTATGTAATGCTGCGATGAGGGCCTTTGATGCGCTAGTTGATAGACATGAAGAATTTCAGTCAACGAGATTTGATTAGAGCATTGATATCTTAGCCTATCCCGTTGGCATTAAAATATGCGATTGTTTTTTTTGTTATAAAATTTTTTTTAGACTGTACATTTTTGTAGATAATGAAAAGAAGCTTAAGGCGCTTCTGGATTCGAACCTGCGTTTTCTGGTTTCGCGACCAGACGCTTAACCAATTAAGGTAATTTATTTTGACTCATAGTGTAACGAGTTCTTTAGAACATAGATGTTACAAAGCAAATGAATATAACTTATTAAGTGTCTCCGGGCGAAGACGAAGTTCATCCTGGTACTGCCCGGAGATGGCCTCGTGTTGCATCTGCACTTCCACCATGTTCTGTTGTAGACGTTCATGGTTGTTCTCGACCTGCTGCAGCTTCTCCTTTAAATCCCAATAGGCCGTGTCTTGCGCCACCTTTGGACATGAATAGAAGGACAAGAATAAACGGATGAAGAGTTCAAGGCAGAAGAGTTGCAAATGGTAACGACTGTAGGATGACGATTATTATTTAGTAGCAGTGGTGTAGTAAAGGACTGTTAAGATCGCTCTGGGAATGAGATGATCGCTCCTAAGCTGTTTCTAAAAAAAAATATATGTACTGTATAACAATGTAAGTGTTTGAGAAAAAAAATGACAAAAAAGAGGATACCTACGGAGTTTCTTTCGCCTGTTTCTTCTCCGTTAGAGGAACCTCATTACGAAACGGTGGTAGATTTAAAAAAATGACTATCGATAAATGAAATGTATATTTCTTATTTTGATGAATAAATAATTTTATTTGGTTATATTGATAAGTTATATATTATGTTTAGAAACATTTATGAACAACAGTCGTCGTTGCAATTAAATTTGATATTTCAATCAATCTTAAAAGAAGATATAAATAATTAATTTATATGAGGTGTGTTTTCAACTGAATACTTGTGGATCCTGAAATAAATTACGATTAAAGTTCTACATATACATACCTTCAATTTTATAATTTTAGTAGTCTCTCGAGAAACTTTTTCACGCAACTTTTCAACTTCTGTGTTCATTCTTTTTCGGCTAGCAACCTTTTTAACATCACCGATCTCCATAATTTAAAAATTTTATATCATTAAGTTTTAAACTGTAAACAGTGTATTAATACCTACTTTATTTTTATAGTAGAAAAAAATGGCGGGAACTTGTATAAATATTTTTTTTATTACTGATGGCCTGTATTTTATTGCGTGTGTCTTACTGTTACATTAAAGACATATATTATCGCCAAAATTTATTAAAAATTAAAATAAATATTTGAAATGTAAAATATTTTAATAACGATAGGAAATCACTTTTGATACACACCTATATGATATTTAATATCTATCAAATGATTTTAAAAGCTATTAAATATACATTATAGCATTCAAACTTTACTACATAATTCTCGATTCGCGCCTTATACACGATACCCTCTCGTATGCTAGTCCGCTCTTAAATCGTTTACATCGTCTAGTTATTGTTATTTAATAACGAGTCTGTATTCGATCGTTGAAACGTCGCATAATAAATTACGTTTTTTTTCTTTTGCAGTTAATTATTGCTGCCATTAAATTACTTTCAGTTTCTGTAAATGTTTAATTCTAGATGTTTTTTTTTTTCATAATTTAACTTTCGTAACGTATACACCTACGTAAGTATATTTTTGATTACATAGTAAATTCAAACTTATTACTGTTCTTATTTCTATTGCGGTTCAAGTCAGAATTCAGATTTATCGTCCCATCAGCCTCCTCAGTTGCCTGGGGAAGCTCTACGAGCGGCTTTTATTAAACAGGCTCAATGAACACGTGTTCAATTCGGCTTTCGAGCTAGACATTCCTGTCCCGATCAACTATTCCGCCTAACGGAACATATCCTAAAAGGCCTAAATCACCCTAAACATATTAGTACAGGGGCTCTTTTCTTCGATGTCGCAAAAGCATTCGACAAGGTCTGGCACAACGGCTTGCTTTACAAGCTGTACACACTCAAAGTGCCAGATAGGCTCGTATACACCATCCGGGCCTTCCTGTCAAACCGCTCTTTTCAATATCGAGTTGAAGGCACCCTCTCCACAAGCCGCCGCCTCACGGCCGGCGTACCACAAGGCTCCTGCCTGTCACCTTTGCTCTTTACGCTCTACACGAGCGATATACCTAAAGACCCCCACGTCAATCTCGCGCTTTTCGCGGATGACACGGCGCTCTTTTATTCAGACCGCAACCTTAGACAACTAACCACTCGACTCCAAAGCGCCGCCGACCGCCTCGGCGACTGGTTTCGCAAATGGAGAACAGAAATAAATCCGAAAAGAGTGTAGCGATTCACTTCACACGAAGTACTTACCCGTCACATCTTTATAATGGTCCTCGCCAATGCAGAAAGTTGGGGCAAATATCCCTTTATGGCCAACCGTTCCCTTGGGAGAAAAAGGTCAAATACTTAGGAGTCACTTTCGACTCGCGTATGTCATTTACTACGCACATTAATAACGTTCGTAATAGAGCCGCGTTCGTCTCCGGCCGGCTACACAATTTAACTAACGCTAAAAGTAAAATGCCCTTAAGGCACAAATTATTATTATATAAGACGTGCGTACGACCTATTATGTCCTACGCATGCATGATCTTCGCCCACACGCACCCTACTCGCTTGTACAAGCTGCAAATAGTACAAAATAAGTTCATCCGCCGTGCAACTGGTATCAACGCAACGTCGATCTGCACAGCGATTGCAGACTCCCGACGATTCGCGAATATTTTAAAGACCTGACCAAACGGTTCTTCGATAGAGCCGAATATAATCCCAACCCTCTGGTGGTAAGCGCAGCAAATTACCAACCCGACACAAACGCGAACGTCAACAAGCGTCGCCCGCGAAACGTCCTCATCGACCCGGTCGAGGAAGGGGACTTAGATACGCCGGACCCACCGCCGGGGTCCCGCCGGAAAACACTACACCCACAGTTAGTGCAACAACAAACACACTAGTTCGCCCTCGCCTGCGAGCACGGCGAGACCAACACAACGCGTACACAAGGTACACCCGCGTTCCAGGGCGGTTATCACCGCCCCCAGCCACCGATTAGCTACAAACACAGTCGACGGCCATCGGGGTCTCGGTCCGCACCGCAACTTCGATGGCCCTTAGATGACATGTCGTAGTTAAACGCACGCATGAGCACATGCGCGGCCCTACCCACAGCGGAGGGCCCAAACCCGTGGGTTCTGGCTAGCCCACCGGTTCTGCGTCAGATGAAGCTTTAATAGTCTCGATACAAGATACAAGAATTCAGATATATAAAAGTACTCTTTGGTTCAAGCTGAGGCTTGAACCTCCATCTGAGAATTGTCTATTCTTTAGGGATCCGAGATGCTACGGAGCGGATGTCGCTATCCTATTATCGTCGTGCATCAGGTACGTTATTACTCCTGAAACCGTGAGTCGTTTCGACCAACGAAGGCTCAAGACGTTCACAGAAAAAAAAACTTCATATTAAACTATTGTCTTTAAAAATGAAACAAAAATGTATATTGAACTCGATATGTCATGTTTCTGAAATTAAAGGGACGACTTAAGTCCTAATCCGGTGGTAGGGCCACGCAGTAGCCTCGGCTGTTGCACGAATGGGCAGGCTCGTCCGGGTAAGTACCACGACCACACAGACGACTGGCGTAAAGTGGAAGTATAATACATTCACGTTTCGTCCGATGAGTGAGGTGGCCGGAGCTCAATTTTCAAAAGATTGTCAACGCATCTGCAACCCTCGGTTGTAGCAGATATCAATGGGCGGCAGTATTCACTTAACATCAGGTCACAATCAAAATCAAACCGCTTAGCAACTTTTCACTTAAAAAAAATGGTTTCTTTATTTTTAAATATTTTAATCTGTCCTCCTCCTATAATTTATTTCCATCTGTGGTTTCTGAATCTTATCGAACTCGGACCTGTCATTGTGTCATACGAAAAATCTTCCAGTCTGCTGATAGGTGATAAATAAAAAAGCAAAAGGTAAGAAAAAGTATGTTGAATTTATATTTATTGATGATATTACTTTAAACTTTAATCTACTGTACATTGTCATTCATACTTACCAAAAACTATGGCCAGTAAAAACTATATTTAAGTAATTGAATTATATAACACTGGGTATTGAAGGTTATATCCAAAAATTACAGATGCTTACTTCGTCACTCTTCGGTGGCTTGCGGGCAGCTCGATCTTCAGTTGTCATTACCAGAAATCTTGCGGCAGCACAAAAAGCTACAGACCCTATTCAACAACTTTTCTTAGACAAGATCAGGGAATACAAACAGAAGAGCGCGTAAGTATAAAAAAATCCTTAGCTAAATTTAACATTTTGTTGTAAAAATTACCATAAAAGATTTTGGTTTGACAATGTAAGCTTAACAAGTAAAAATAAATGTTAGCATTTTATATTTTTGAGGTATCCTGTATCGTTGTATCCTCCAAAAACGTTAACAATATTTGAATAAAACGGAAGGTGCCTGAAAATAAATGGTCGATTTCCATCATTTAAATTACAAGTTAATTTTTTTTTACTTTATAGTTAAGTTACTTCATTATTTTAAATTATAATGTTCATGATGTTTTCGTAGTCTTTTGTTACTGTTTTGCAAATAAAACCATGATAATCATCGAATACAAAACTAAGATATCAAACAATTGAATTTTAGGTATAAAAATGTTCTTTTATATTTTTAATTATGTCAGTTAATTAGCTACCAGGTTTTAATGCACCAATTATTATAATTCGCTAAAAATTTTTCAATTATTTGTTAAATCTGAACAACAAAAGTGACAATACAGTTTCAGGAACTAAACCTAACGAGACAAGCTCAACTCATTCTACTCAAAATAAATAATTTTTAACATTTATTTTAGTAAACATTTAAGTGGCAAACAAGCTGGCGGTTCACCTGATGTTAAGTAATACCCGTCACTCATGGACATTTGCAACACTTTGGGTTGCAAATTCGTTGCCAACTTTAAATAAAGTGGGCTCTGGCTACCTGACTCACTGGACGAAACGAAGAAGTGTAACACTTCTACTTTACATGGGTCTTCTGTGAGACTGCCTTCTGACTGAACTGCCCATTCGCGCAACAGTTGAAACTGTTGTGTGTCTCTACCACAGTAACTTGCAATGGCATTGATGATACTCCATGATATAATAATTCAAATAATTTAATTCATCACAGAGGTGGCAAACTTGTTGAACCAAGCCCAGCAATTGAAAAGGAGATGAAAGCGGAACTGGAAAAGTTGGAGCGACAGTATGGTGGAGGCTCTGGAGTAGACATGACCGCATTCCCTGCTTTTAAATTTGAAGAGCCCAAAATAGACTCCATCGATGAACAAGCAGCCCAGAAGAAGTAAAAGGATAATGATCACTTAGAAATAGTATAATATAAAAATGATTATTCACAAGAATTTCATCAATGTCTAAGTAAGAGCCAAATAAAATTGAGTTTTGATGATATATTAGTTTTAATTGAATCTGTAATATTTATTTTACTTCATTACACCTTAATATCTTATTTATTTGTATGAATTTTCAAAAAATTGATAGGTACTTTATGTACAAAATCTTGAAAATTAATTTCTTTAGTCAAAGTCAAATATCTTTATTCAATATAGAAGCATTCACTTACTTATTGATAGTCAAAAAACTCTACCACCGGTTCGGAAGGTAAGCCACTGACCTGAGAAGAACCGGCGTAAGAAACTCAGCGGGACATTATTTTTTTTTTTTACTTGCCAAAAAAGTTACAAATATGTGTACAATTATTAGACTCCTATTAAACTCCACTTGAAAGAGCCTGGAGCGATCAATGCATTTCCAGAGTGTGTTATCATTCATATAATCACTAATACTATAATAGCCATTAACACACAAACGTTCCTTTACAAGTTTTTTGAATTTAGCAACAGATTCATTTTGAACGTTTTCTGGGATTTTGTTGTAAACAGCGTATACATTGTCCCATAAAAGATTTACTTATTCTACGCAATCTAGTTGAGGGGGTAGAACTAATTTATGCTTGTTCCTAGTATTTACATCATGCACATTACTAAATTTTGAAAAGTCATTCTTATTTTTGTGGACATACATAACATTAGCAAGTATGTACTGAGAAGCTACAGTCAATATTTTTATTTCTTTAAACAGGTTTCTTAGTGAGTCTTTGGGGCCCAGGTTATAAACCGCTCGAATAGCTCTCTTTTGCAGGATGAAAATAGTATTTATGTCGGCTGAATTTCCCCAAAGTAGAATGCCATAAGACATTATACTGTGGAAATAGCTAAAATATACCAGACGAGCCGTATCCACATCAGTCAACTGTCTAATTTTTTTGACTGCAAAGACTGCTGAGCTAAGTCTACTCGACAGTTTATTAATATGGGGGCCCCACTGCAATTTGGCATCTACGGTTATGCCAAGAAATACAGTCGAGTCAATGAGGTCTAACGCTTCCCCATGTAAAAGTACATCAGTTTTTACACTTTTTACGTTGGGAGTTGTAAATTTAATACATTTCGTTTTTTTACTATTCAACATTAAGTTGTTAGCACTAAACCAATGCACTACAGTGGAGAGAGTATTGTTAACGTCGTCATAATTTGAAGAATGTCGTTTAACTTTAAAAATTAAAGAAGTATCATCAGCAAACAATACTATCTCATGATCATTATTTACAAGATAGGGCAGGTCATTTATGTAGATGAGGAAAGAGAAAAGACCCCAGAATAGATCCCTGTGGAACCCCCATACTTACCAGGGCCCCGGGAGATCTCTTGCCATTCACGTCAACTCTCTGAACACGATAGCTCAAGTACGATGTCAGAAGATTGAGTGCGGCATCTCTTATACCATAGTGGTTTAGTTTCCTGACCAGAGTGTCATGCTGTACACAATCAAATGCTTTAGTTAAGTCACAGAATATACCTAAGGCATCCTGTGACTCTTCCCAGGCTTCAAAAATATTCTTCACAAGCTGGATACCCGCATCTGTTGTTGAGCGACCCCTAGTAAATCCATATTGCTTGTTATGCAGCAATTTATGTGTACTAAAATGGAGTAACATTTGATTCAAAATAATTTTTTCAAAAATTTTACTAAGAGTCGGTAGTACTGAAATAGGTCTAAAATTGCTGGGGTCAGAAGTACTACCAGATTTGAACACCGGAATAATCTTACTATGTTTCATAAGGTCAGGAAACTCGCCACGTTGAATACATAATGATGTTAATTTTTGTAAAATGTTAGACAATATTTTTAAAAATAAGTGTCAAAGCTATTTCTCAAATAAAATTGTCACTTTTCTAATTGAATTAAAATTGTCACTTATTAACATTTTTCCATAGTTATGAGACTACACCTGTATAAATAAAATTATTTTATAGATTTTAAATCTGTGAAATAAAACAGTAATAAATTATTGTTACATAAAACTATTTACCAATTATGACGACGTGAATAGTGCACTTTCGCGTATCCTCCACTGGTTTACCATTAATAATATGGTGTTAAATGCGAAAAAAACCAAATGCCTTCTTTTTGCCCTTCCCAACGTAAGAATGCGAAGTTTTAGCTTAAAATTGAATAGCGTAACCCTTAATCCTGTTGAGTCCGCTGTATTCTTGGGAATCACAGTAGATTCAAAGCTCCAATGGAGTCCCCATCTATCATCTCTTGCGAATAGGTTAAGCTCCGCTGTTTTTGCAATTAGGAAGGTTAGGCAGCTATCAGACATCGACACTGCCAGACTTGTTTACTACAGTTATTTTCACAGCATCTTGTCGTACGGCATTTTGTTGTGGGGTAGTGCATCTGATATAAATTCAATATTTATTATTCAAAAAAGGGCTGTCCGAGCAATTTATAACATCGGAGCCGGAATACACTCAGAGATCTTTTTAAAGAGATTAATATACTCACTGTTGCGTCTCAATATATTTATTGTAATATTTTGTATGTTAAACAGAATTAATAATTATCAAAAGAATAGTGACAGACATAAACTAAATACTAGAAATAAGGACAAACCTACTACGCCATTATTTCGCCTACAAAAAGTAAACAGGTCGTTCATGGGGCAAAGTGTGCGCATGTATAATAAAATCCCACAGTCGATATTAAGTCTGCCACTTGATGAATTTAAACGAAAAATTAAAAGTAAACTTATGGCTAAAGCCTATTATACTATTGCCGAATATCTTGACGACGCCAATGTGTTAATACTGTTGATACTCACGTAGGCGAAGACTATTGTACTTGTACTATTATATTGTAAACTGATTTTTTTTTTAAAAAAAAGAGCAACTGTTGAGTTTCTTGCCGGTTTCTTCTCAACAGAAACTGCTTTCCGAACCGGTGGTAACTTACGAACGTGTTAATTTCTTGTAAAATTTTAACGTTTCATAAGAACGCGCAAGCGTCTATGTGAATAAAGATATTTTATTATTATTATTACTATTTACCCCTATTGCACATTTTGTGGTACACTCAATCCCCATATGGACATTTGTGCATCTAGTGAAACTTAAAAGATATGTACACATAATAGTTATATACCTATGAAATTGCGGTTCTTCAATAGTGGCCATTTCAAACAAAAATAAGTTTTGTTTGGCTGTGAATTCTAAATTTAAATTAATTTTGTTTTAAAATCGTTTTTTTTTTTACAAAGTCAGTCTTTGTTTATTGATTCAGCTTTGTATTTTCAATACATTTGATCATATTTTGTTATACTTTAAAAATTCGTAAAAAATACCATTCTTTGCAAATTCGTGTAATTATGGAGTATGAGTTCCGTCGTGGCACCAACGCGGCACAAACAGCACGTAACATCAACGACGTTTACGGGGAGAATTTTACAAACGAACGTACAACCCGTTATTGGTCACCAATGATGAAGGTGATTGTGGAAGCTGATGATACTCAATCTACAGATGAAGTAACAGTTTAATGTTAGCATCAACAGTTTAATGATGATTGAATGAGGTATGCGATTTCTGGCAAATAATACAAGTAATGAAAATCGCGTTGTGTGAAAATTCTATTTAAAATTCGTTGGGTACTATTGTTATACAACTATTAAATGTATAAACAAAAGAGGTATCGCATTGCTTTAAAGATTCTAGTGACAATGGCTCGTTCCTTTGTATCAGTTGATGCGATCAAATTCCTTCATTAACTTTATTGATTCACATATTAGCAGCATACCCATGAAGTGCCATATTTCGCGAATACGATACTTTTGTTCAAAACATATTGTACTGGAACAGACTTTAATTAGCACATAAATACAATTATCTAAATACTTTCATAAATTTTGCTGATTTCAGGCTCGAAGTTACAAATACTTAATTCATTATAAAAATCTAAGATTCCACTCAGCGTCTCGGGTAAAATCAAAATAATGTTTTTCAATATAAATATCGATAAGTACTTTTTTTAGCATTTAAGATGATATTTGTTAATTAATATGTTAATATTAATTAATTGTCTGTTATTCTATTCGAAAGTCTACATTACATGACTGTAATTTAGAAACTTTTTATTTCAATAATGAATATTCAAAAACTGCGCCCGATATTTAATCCTTCCAGACTCGTGTGAGTCATGAGTCCATGAGCGATCATCGAAGGCAGCGTGTGGCGCAAAGAGGGGACTCGCTTCGGGCGGTTTCATTTTCATTCGACCCGCCAGTGGCGCTCGGTGCGCAATGTGAGTGACTGGTGTAATACGCAAGCGTTTCGACCGGTTAAACATTGTTTCATATTATGGCGGCCGGTTTCGTGGGGTCCACGAAGAGTTTTCCGTTCTCCTTCGACATGGACATCGAGGAGGAGGAGGAGCCAGGCCGCGGTACTCCGCACCTGAGCAAACGAATAGGTTAGTCGGTGTGCGTCATGTTTATGTTGCCTTGTTTATTCCGTTTTCAGCTGCAGTTTCATGAATAAATCTTTAGTGATAAAGAAATAGCGCATGCGGCTTACGCAGTAAGTATTTAAAATAAATTAATAATAATTACATTCAAAATAAAAATAAATTAATCTTCATTATTATACAGAAGTGTCCCTGAGCTTGATTACCTTTATTAATCGGTTGATCAATACGAAAGAAGTTTCAAAATCTATTTAAAACTATGTATCATTTTAGTTCACTATATTAATCCGTTTGCTATTTAACTACTCTATTCCCCGTAATTGGTTCATTTTGTAGGTAACATGATGGGCGGTCGATATCCCAAACAAAATCAGCTGTTAGGGTTTAGCTTCGGGCCTTGCGGAAAAACGTGCTAGTTCATTCTAAGTAGGAATTTATATGTCACATTTATTTGTTTTCATTCACCTCCTTTATATTAATT